TGTGTCGGGAGGCTGACACGTCCACTTGTTTGTGTATTTGTCTGGCTTCAGTGACAGAGTTGGGGCTTCACCGATGGCTCAGCGGATAAACAATCTGCCTGCAATGCCAGACACACAGGAGATGCAGTTTTGATCCCTGGGTCAGGAAGATCCCCTGGAGAAAGAAATGGCAGCCCACTCTAGGATTCCTGCCTGGAAAATCCCATGGACAGAGGAGCCTGGAAGGCTACAGTCCATGGGGTCGCAAAGAGTCAGACATTAGTGAGCCACTAATCATGCACACAAGGTGGAGTGAAGTCATTTTGGCAGAGACCACCATGTGCCCACAGCGTCACATTTACTGTCTTTGCCACCCTTTGGACTGTAGCCCATCAGGCTGTAAAAAAAAAAAAAAAAAATGGCCAAGTTTTGAGATACGTGTTTGCCAATTATTAGTTATTTTGCCATACTTGCTTTATCTCTCTCTCCATAATTGACAGATAGCATCCTCTCTCTCCCTATCTATTTCCATCTCTCCTATCCATACACGTGTGTGCATACTAAGTCACTTCAGTTGTGTCCAGCTCTGTGCAACCCTAAGGACTGTAACCTGCCAGGCTCCTCCTGTCCATGGGATTCTCCAAGCAAGAATACTGGAATGGGTTGCCATGCCCTCCAGGGGATCTTCCCAAACAGGGATTGAACGTGCGTCTCCTGAGGCTCCTGCCTTGCAGGCAGATTCTATACCACCGAGCCCTGGAGAAGCCCATGCATGCACACACACACACACATTTTATTTTCTTGAACTATTTGAAACTATGTTATAGACATGATAACTTGTCCTTGAAAAATCCATATGTTTGTCTAAGAATGAAGGTATTCTTTCATATAACCACAACACCAGCATCGTCATGCCTAAGAAAATTAACATTCATCCAATAATGTTATCCAACAACAGTCTAACTTTAAATTGAACTTTTATAGTCTTTATTATACTTTTCCTTTCTGGATCTAAGATCCAATCAAAGGTCATATGATACATTTGGTCATCATGTCTCTTCAGTCTCCAATTTTTGTTTTATCATGACATTGACATTTTTTAAGAGTTTTTAAAAAACTTCTTTTGAAGCCTAAGAATTAATGGGTTTGCAGTACTATACCAGTAAGAGCTAAATAGAATAATCATTGTGGTAAATCAGTGTCTCTACTTCTTTCCCAGGATTGAGACACAGTTGTGTTGCTTGGCTTCAGAAGCTAAGACACTAGATTGTTAGTTTTGCTTGGAGTTGTAAATGTGGAAAAAAACCCAGCGTGAAGAGCAAGGCAGATGGGAATTTGCAGGATGCATTTTAAGTAATTAAAGGCACAGCCCTCCCTGCCCTCTCTGATCGCTGCCCTTGTTAGCTCTTGGCTGAGGGGGCTCTTCCTTCTGGCTTTTCTCCTGACTGGGGTCTGGCTCCCCTCCAGCATCGTTAGGTTGCAGCACAAACTGGAAGGAGACCTGCCGTTATTTAAGTCTGGCAGCCCAAAATGTTCAGCCCGACTGGCTGCACGGTGCTTCTGCGTCTGCAGCCTGTGTACTGAAGAGAGGGCAGCGCTCGGGGGGCACTTCTGCTAGCGCCCGTGGGAAGAACGCTTTCGCGCCTTCCTTGAGAATCTGATGGGCCACAGTCACACGCATCTGATGGGACCATGTGGGGGTCACTGGTTTGTTCCTCTTATTGGGGTCCCAGATGATTCCTGGAGAGTTCTGAGACCCATCCTTTAATGTCCTCGGGGTTAGAAGCCCTCAGAGCTCATAGGCCAACCAGAAAGATTGCTGCAAAAGGCTCACCTGAACATCTACAAACCTCTGGAAGTGGGATGCAAAATAGAAAAGCTCCAAAGAGAAATTGGATCATTTTAAAACATGTAAAGTGATTGGAGAAGAGACTGTGAAGGGTAGATGACTTCAGACTATAACCAGCTCACTGCCAGTCTACAATATGTCTTGTACATGACACAGGTCTTCTGAATGATGGTTCTTCTTACCCTGAAAAAAATCCAGGGACACAGGAAAGACAACATGCTGGGGGAAAGACATACACACAGGAAAGCCTCCACGAGGGGAGATGAGATTAGAGTATCTCCTCATTGGTTTCCCTGTCTCCTGCCTCGTTCCTCTTAAGTCCTTCCTTTGCACTGCCTCCTCCCCGAGGCCTACCCCCAGCAATCTACTTCTGCTGCAGACCTGGGCATTTACTTCCCACGTTACCACCCCGCTGCCCTCCATGGCCTTCAAGGGCCCCTTTGATCAGCCCCTGACTCCAAAGCCTGCTCTTCCTTTGGTGCCAGCCTCAGATTTGGTGCTTGATCTCCTCGTGTCTGCCATGGTTTTTTGCACCTCCATTCTTTCCTGGCTGTGCAGCCTTGGTTCCTTCACCGCTCACTGGCTGAAGTGAAGTGAAAGTTGCTCAGTCATGTCCAACTCTTTGCGACCCCACGGTCTATACAGTCCATGGAATTCTCCAGGCCAGAATACTGGAGCGGGTAGCCTTTCCCTTCTCCAGGGGATCTTCCCAACCCAGAGATCAAACACAGGTCTTCCACGTTGTGGGCCATTTCTTTACCAGCTGAGCCACAGGGGATGCCCAAGAGTACTGGAGTGGGTAGCCTATCCCTTCTCCAGGGGGTCTTCCTGACCCAGGAATCGAACCAGGGTCTCCTGCGTCACAGGCAGATTCTTTACCAATTGAACTATCAGGGAAGCCTTAATGATGCTTAATTGTTCATGCCTTCCACTGCTCATCTATAAAAGAGGATGATCATCGTACCTACCTCATAAGGTTGTACAGGAATTAAATGAGTTAACATATGTAAAATTCTTGGAAGAACGCTTGGCATTTAATAAGGGCTATATAAAGGTTAGCAATTCATTGCTATTTCTCTTGTTATTTTGAGCCTGGATGTATTAATTTTTATTGCTGCATTAAAAAATTACTATAAACTTAGCATCTTCAGTCAGTATCCACTGACTATCTTAGTTTCTTTAATCAGAATATTGGCATGGTGAGACGAAATTCTTTGCTCAGGGTGTCACAGTGCTGAAATTGAGGTGTTGGCAGGGGCTGAAGTTCAAGCTGAGCTTCTTCCAGGCCTCTTCCTAGCTCATGTGGTTGTTGACAGAATGCATCTCCTTGCAGCTATAGAATCTATGGCCAGCAGGAACTCTGACTTCACCTTCTTTGTAAAGCTCCCCGTGATTAGGCACAGTCAGGCCATCTTTCTTTTGGTCAGCTCAAAGCCAAGTGGCTAATGGCAGAATCACAGAGTGGTCATCTGCACCAGGCCCCTTGGCACTCCAGGGAAGGAGATTGTGTAGAGTGTGTCCCTCAGGGCGTGAGGTTCTTGCTGGCCGTCTTATTAGCAGAATCCTGCCTGCACGCTGGTCATTGGGAAATACAATGATTTTTGTTCACTTTGTTAAATTGCACTTCAAATATATGATTTATTTACCAGCACCACTGTAACACTATGCACAGAAATGAATTCAGATTTTTGTAGCATCTGCCTTAGAGCATTTAGATAGGTTTGCTTCCCTGGTAAAGAATCCCCTGCAATGTGGGAGACCTGGGTTCAGCCCCTGGGTTGGGGAGATTCCCTGGAGAAAGGAACAGCTACCCACTCCATTATTCTGGTCTGGAGAATTCCATGGACTGTATAGTCCATGGGGTCACAAAGCGTTGGACATGACTGAGCAAATTTCACTCTCACTCCACATTGATCCGGCTCCTGGAACCAGTCTTCATCATTCCTTTCCTGAAGTTCGAACTACCTGATGGAACCAGTTAGCTCATCTTTTACAAAGTCTTTTACGAAGACATCACTGATGAATCTGCAGCTAATATCCTAGAGTTCCTAAAGGATGACTCACAATTTGCCATCCCTTCCAGAGCCATTTGTTTATTCTTAATGACTCCAAATAGATGAAGGCCAGGCCCTTCCTCAGCAGTTGATTGTGGCTGCTGCTCTGCCAGGCCAAAGTCAACTTGTACCTGATAGACAAATGCATCACCGTGAGGAAGGTCTTTGATATTATGTCCAGAAGATTTCCTTGCCCCCTCTTCCTCCCCTTCCAGTTAAGTCTAGATTCCCCCCACCACCACCAATTTAATTCAGTTTACAGTCCACAAAGAGGTATTATTGATCAAAACTCACTGATAAAGGATGTATTTTTGAAGATCAGTTAGAAAGAAAAACTCAAAGATGACTCTTAGGTAGTAAATCCTATTTAAAAAAAAAAAAATGAACCAGATTCTAGGCAATAAGACATGGGACAAAACGTTGAAGCAATAGGAGTACTGTGTATTAAGTTGCTTCAGTCGTGTCCAACTCTTTGTGACCCTATGGCCTATAGCCCACCAGGCTCCTCTGTTCATGGGATTCTCCAGGCAAGAATACTGGAGTGGATTGCCATGCCCTTCTCCAGGGGATCTTGCTGACCTAGAGATTGAACCAGCATCTCCTGTGTCTCCTGCATTGGCAGGCAGGTTCTTTATCACTGGCGCCACCAAGGACTACTCCCCTCAAATCGCTGTTACACTTCTTTTTAAAAAATATATTTATTTATTTATTTATTTATTTATTTTTGGCTGTCTTGGGTCTTCGGTGCTGCAAACAGGCTTTCTCTAATTGTGCTAGCAAGGGATACTCCCTTGTTGCAGAACACAGGCATAAAAGTGAAGGATTAGCAGTTACCTCTCAGGATGTGGAATCTCCCCAGAACAGGGATCAAGTCCTTGTTCCTTGCATTGGCAGGTAGATTCTTAACTACTGGAGCACCAGGGAAATCCTAAGTGTTATTTTTCAGTGGCATTTAACTTACAGTTTTATACCAGTGTGAAAGGTAAAGGGAAGGAAAGTGAATTTGACATAGCTGTGGGTTCAGAAGTGTGAAGTATCTGTTTCCTCCAGGATTTCATAACAAAGTATGATTTTATTATCTAACAAGCCATGACTCACACCTGACTCTCACTGCCCCAATGATTGTCTTCTCTCCAGTGCTTTGGACTATTAAAGAGGAAAGACTGGTTCATGAAATAATATTAAATAATATAGACTTAGATTTCTTTTCTTCCTTCCAGGACAATATCATATTATTCTTGAGAGGTTGTAAAGAGCTCGGCCTCAAAGAATCTCAACTTTTTGACCCGAGTGACCTACAGGATACGTCCAACAGAGTAACAGTCAAGTAAGTCATGCACGATTTATGTTCAAGGGAAACCCATTTATGGTTTGATTTGCAGTTTTGTGATGATGTTGTGAGGTCTAAGAGGCAGAGAATTGGACATGCCTAATAAAATAGAAATGTGAAGGTGAAAATCCAGCTTTCAGAACAAGCCCCATTGGCCTTCCCTTGTGCGTAACTTTCACTCTGATCAAACATAATTTTTTGAAATGCAAAAATCATACATATTGAGTTAGAATTTTAGAGAAAAGGAGGAAAACTTTTAGGTTAAACTTAACAGAGGGAGAAGCAAGGGAGAAGTATGCACAGAATCTATTTGGGTTAGACAAAAAGCTTTTATTGGCTCCAATTGGGCATATGAATAGGCTCTTGGAAGACTGCAAACTCCTAAACAGTTCTGAACTCTGTTTATTATGCAAAGAAGGCAATAGATTATGGAAAAATCTCTTCTTCATTTACATGTGTAGCTGTTTTCTCATATGTGTCAGTGATTAAGTTCTCTGAAGATGGATCATTGGCCGTTTGGCCATTGTTGACTGTGTCTACTCAGTGGGCCATGTTTGGGGCCAAAGAATTCTTGGGAAAGAATGTTATAGTAAAAGAAAAGGCAATATGCTTCTCTGTAAAGAAATAGCTGTGAGCAGAGTAATGAGATGAAGAGTCCTTTTGAGATGGTAGAGTTAACTTTCCTGTAGTTTAAAAGTTCTTCAGACTCTACCAAATTCATATAAAACATTTTCCAAATTAGTCAAACAGTATTTGGCATTAATATGCTTTAATAATAAGCTTAGTTACATACATAGCGTCTTTGGGTTGGATGTACTTCTCCTCTTGATTACTTTTGGATCATTTTATCATAGAAGGGCAGAAGAAAGAGAGACACCAAAATTCAGAGCTGTAAATTTTTTGGTGTTTGCCTGCTGATACTGGCTTTTTTTTAATGATGGGGGGAAATATGGAAACTACTAAATGAAATTGAATTGGAGTTCATATTGGATTTTATGGTTTATGACTAGGAGTAAGGGAGAGTCATCCATGATTAACTATATAAAAATTACTTCTCTGTTGTCGGTGTGCCTTCTTTTTAAGTATAATTGGCATTTGCTCTGTGGTTCACTCAGTCATATCTGACACGTTGCGACCCCACGGACTGCAGCACACCAGGCCTCCCTGTCCTTCACTATCTCCCAGAGTTTACTCAAACTCATGTCCATGGAGTTAGTGATACCATCTAACTGTCTCATCCTCTGTTGCCCCCTTCTCCTCCTGCCCTCAATCTTTCCCGGCATCAGGGTCTTTTCCAATGAGTTAGTTCTTCACATGAGGTGGCCAAAGCATTGGAGCTTCAGCTTCATCATCAGTCCTTCCAATGCATATTCAGTGTTGATCTCCTTTAGGATTGACTGGTTATCAAGAGTCTCCTCCAGGACCACAGTTCAAGAAGATCCCCTGGAGAAGGAAATGGCAATCCACTTCAGTATTCTTACCTGGAATATCCCATGGACAGAGGAACCTGGCAGGCTATAGTCCATAGGGTCACACAGAGTCGGACATAATTGACATACACTATGATATTAGTTTCATATGTACAACATAGTGATTCAATATTTGTGTATATTGCAAAATGTTTACCACAGTAAGTCTAGTTAACATCTGTCACTATATAAAGTGTATTTTTCTTGCAATGTATACTTCTAAGATCTTCTCTCTTAGCAACTTTCAAATAAGCAACGTTGTTTTATTAACTATAGTTATCATGCTGTACATTACAACCCCATTATTTATTTATTTTGTAACTAGAGGTTTGTACCTTTTGACCTGTCTTTAATATTTCTCATGGAAAAACTTTAGTTAAGGGCAAAAATAACAGAATAAAAGTTATGATATTTGAATATGGAAAGCCCCATAAACCTCATTTTAGTTCTCACATGCTTCATTTATTCTGTATCTAAATCCAGCCTGTATAAATCATTAGTTTAGGAAATTGTTTCAGGTTCTGCCTCATCTCATATTTGTAGTTTCACCTGGGTGGCAAGTGACCAGAAACAATAGTGACTGTGTGGCATGGTCGGTAATCATTAGTCACACACACATTGCTTAGAGGGTGAAGGAAAGTTCACTTTGACAGTGTTGGCAGCTGCATTCATTTTTTTCTTTTTTAAGTCACTCTAAACCAGTATGTTACTAAACCAGGAGAACGCTGAGATTGATTAGTTTTAGAGATTTAGAACTCATATCACCATTATTGCTTTTCTGTAAAACCCTGGGCATCAGGAAATCCAGGGTCTACCCCTACACGTGCTGCCCCTTAGGTCTGTAATCCAAGACAAGATCCTTTGCTTCAGTAGGCCTCTGTGTCTTCATATGTAAAATGGAATTGGACAGAATATTCTTAATGGGTCTGATTCTAGCTAAAGCTTGCTCAGGGCAGATCTGGGAAGATGGTTCAACCAACTTCTAAAGAGACTTTAATTCAAAGACACAGAAAGCAATCCAAAGGAAAAAAAATAGTCACTTAGACCAGTGGCTCACAATCACTTCTCAATTACTAGGCCATCTTCCCCTCCTCCTGTTCTTTCCTCTGTCCTTTATCTTTCTTTTGCTTCTTTCCTCTGTCTCCTCTGCCCAGTGCCTCCCTTCCCTTCTTTATCATATCTTTCCATTTATCTCCTGTTTTGTATTTCTTCTTATTTTCTTCCCTTTTAAGTTTTTCCTTCACTTGAGGTTATTATTTTTGTTAAGAAACACTTGCCCATCGCTTTCACCTGTGACTGATATTTTTCATTCATTCAACAGATTTACTGAGCAGCTACTATGTGCCTGATCCTTTCTGGTCACTAGAGAATAGGCCTTCTGTTCATGTGGAATTTATATACTGTGTGTCAAGAAATGAGAAGTAAATAAGCAGATTTTTAAAAATTGCAGGGAGTGATAAGTGCTGAGGAGAAAATAAAATAGTAATAAAATAAATGATGTAAAAGATAGTGACAATTGCAATATGTATATATCAAATCATTGTGTTGCATACCTTAAACTTATATAATGTTTTATATCAATTATAGCTCAACAAAACTGGGGGGGGGGTTAATAAAAAAGAAAGGGTGTCAAGAATAGTCTCTCTGAAGTGGCAGCATTTCGGCTGAGGACTGAGGCATGAAAGGAAAGCAAGAGCCAGCCATGCAAAGATCTATAGGGTATTCAGGGCAGAGGAAGGGTAGGTAGAAAGGCTGGGGAAGAAAAGCAAACTTGATGTCTAGGAAGAGAAAGGAGAGTGGCCAGCCAGTGTGATAGAAGAGTAATGAGCAAGGATGAGTGTGGTGTAAGGGGTGGTTCACAAGCATTATAGGAGGTTGAATTTGGGATAATTATAGAGAAGGAATTTTTATTTCACTGTATGAACATTCAGAACATAAAGAACTTTATATGGAAATTATGCCATAAATTCATTTATGGCACTTAGAAGATCTTCTGTAGCATTAAGGAGGATTGGGGCATGGATTGGGGCATGGAATGAACTATCTGCTTCACAACTTTTCTGTAAGTGATGCTGGTTTCACTTAGCACTGTCTGGGGACATTTGTAACACATGTGGATTTCATAGCTATGGTAAATGAAAGTAGAAACTGCTATATTTTTCTGCTTTCCCCTCTGAAAGTTGAGCCAAACATTAGCAGAGATGGAAAACACCCTGTTGACACCAGTTAGTAGTGAAAGCAATAGGTAGAGGGGCGGATCCCAAAAAGAAAATTTTGATGCTTTTTTTTTTAAATTGGAGTATAGTTGCTTTAGACTGCAATGTCAGTTACTGCTGTACCGAAAAGTAAATTGGCCAACATATACATATATAATCTTGATACTTTTTCAGATTGTCTTTTTAAAAGTTCTCTTTAGCTTTCTTTGTAGGTAATTTTTCTTACCTTTTTTTTTTTTTTTTTTTTTTTTTTTTGGTAAAACAGTTCCTTGAATTAGGACAAGATTCAGTAGGGTAACTGTTGAAATGATTACTGGTGTGTAATTTCGTGAACTCTACCTGTAATGGGTGCCAGACACCCTTGGTGAGAAATGAAAGCATAATCCAAAAGGGCTTGCATGTTTTGTATTTCTTCTTATTTTCTTCCCTTTTAAGTTTTTCCTTCACTTGAGGTTATTATTTTTGTTAAGAAACACTTGCCCATCGCTTTCACCTGTGACTGATATTTTTCATTCATTCAACAGATTTACTGAGCAGCTACTATGTGCCTGATCCTTTCTGGTCACTAGAGAATAGGCCTTCTGTTCATGTGGAATTTATATACTGTGTGTCAAGAAATGAGAAGTAAATAAGCAGATTTTTAAAAATTGCAGGGAGTGATAAGTGCTGAGGAGAAAATAAAATAGTAATAAAATAAATGATGTAAAAGATAGTGACAATTGCAATATGTATATATCAAATCATTGTGTTGCATACCTTAAACTTATATAATGTTTTATATCAATTATAGCTCAACAAAACTGGGGGGGGGGGTTAATAAAAAAGAAAGGGTGTCAAGAATAGTCTCTCTGAAGTGGCAGCATTTCGGCTGAGGACTGAGGCATGAAAGGAAAGCAAGAGCCAGCCATGCAAAGATCTATAGGGTATTCAGGGCAGAGGAAGGGTAGGTAGAAAGGCTGGGGAAGAAAAGCAAACTTGATGTCTAGGAAGAGAAAGGAGAGTGGCCAGCCAGTGTGATAGAAGAGTAATGAGCAAGGATGAGTGTGGTGTAAGGGGTGGTTCACAAGCATTATAGGAGGTTGAATTTGGGATAATTATAGAGAAGGAATTTTTATTTCACTGTATGAACATTCAGAACATAAAGAACTTTATATGGAAATTATGCCATAAATTCATTTATGGCACTTAGAAGATCTTCTGTAGCATTAAGGAGGATTGGGGCATGGATTGGGGCATGGAATGAACTATCTGCTTCACAACTTTTCTGTAAGTGATGCTGGTTTCACTTAGCACTGTCTGGGGACATTTGTAACACATGTGGATTTCATAGCTATGGTAAATGAAAGTAGAAACTGCTATATTTTTCTGCTTTCCCCTCTGAAAGTTGAGCCAAACATTAGCAGAGATGGAAAACACCCTGTTGACACCAGTTAGTAGTGAAAGCAATAGGTAGAGGGGCGGATCCCAAAAAGAAAATTTTGATGCTTTTTTTTTTAAATTGGAGTATAGTTGCTTTAGACTGCAATGTCAGTTACTGCTGTACCGAAAAGTAAATTGGCCAACATATACATATATAATCTTGATACTTTTTCAGATTGTCTTTTTAAAAGTTCTCTTTAGCTTTCTTTGTAGGTAATTTTTCTTACCTTTTTTTTTTTTTTTTTTTTTTTTTTTTGGTAAAACAGTTCCTTGAATTAGGACAAGATTCAGTAGGGTAACTGTTGAAATGATTACTGGTGTGTAATTTCGTGAACTCTACCTGTAATGGGTGCCAGACACCCTTGGTGAGAAATGAAAGCATAATCCAAAAGGGCTTGCAGCAAATACCGTTCTAGAGAACTGCAGCGACTGGCTGGAAGGGCGGAAGCCTTTGGGTTGCTCCCGAGGATGTCTCTGAAAAATTTAGCAGCGTTTTCACATAATGGGTTGTTATGTGGAAATCACTCAACAGATGTTCTGTGAGCTCCTAGTGTGTGCCAAGTGTGACTTTTTTTTCAGAACTGGGTCACAATTTTTAGTCAAAAAATGTTAATTGTCAGTGCAGAAAAAGTCTTATGTTCCCTGTTCTTAAGTTGTTTCTCACAAAAAATTCAGATCTTTAATAGATTTTTGTTTGCTTTCATCTAGTTTTGTTGTTATGTTCAGTTTTTTAAAATCCTAGCAAACACCTAAGCAGTTAATGACATATCATTCTTTCTGTTAATAGGGGGGAATATGAAACATGCTCTTAATCAAATCCAAATTGGACCACTGCTTCTTACAATGCAAGTGTCTGTTGATGGTTTATATCCTTAATGTGGCCTATGTTGTTTTCTGTTCCCTCAAATCTCAGTTGATTTAAAATTGTGCGTCTGTTCATTAATCTGTACTTTGGGTCAGAATAGGCAGCATTTAGGTAATTGTGATCTAAATATCTGAAGAAATTCTTGACTAGTTTTTTCAATGAATTACATTCTCCCTCCCCAACCCCCAACTGAAGTTCTGTGGAAAAAAGAAATGTAGCTTTTGTTTTCCTATTTATTTGTTGACATGCTAAAGAAAACTTAGAATAATTTAGAAGAAATTTTTATATTTCACTGTATGAATATTTAGAAAGTACCACCAAGTAGCTTTTTTGTTTATAGTTTGAGAATAAATGTTTCTGTATATTTAAGAATGTGTGTATATTTGAACATAGCATGCATATTTTCCTGCTAATGGCTAATCCCCAACACTAATTTATGTCCATAGCAGAAAAGAACAAATATTTGGATAGTATTGCCTCTTCTACATATATTTTTCAGGTCTATTTAATTAAGTAGCTTTAGACCTTTGTTAAAAGTACTTGTATAAAGAAGATTTTGGAAGTGCAGTCAGATTTCAGTTTGACAGTGATATATAACCTAGGCAAAATTGTACTTGAACAGTTCAGCTTTGAGTATACAAATATAAACAGTCCTAGTTTTAAATGGAATTCTTCATTTTCCAGATGTTACAAAACATTCATCTTTCCATGGTGTACTGTGGAATTTTAATCCCATATTATCCTTCTATATTTTGTTTTCTAAGTAGTTTTATTTAGTACCTGAAATTACTAATTGTAGACCTTAAAAATAATATATTTTGATGATTTCATTGTATTTGTTAGCTTTCACATGTATCATAGAGATGTTGAAATGAAGATCACAGTGGAGAAACTGATCATTTTTCCTTTCCTTTTTCCTGATTAGGAGCCTTGATTACAGTAGGAAGCTGAAAAATGTAAGTGTTTTAGCTTCACCTTCTCAGCTCTTCTCCTTCTAACATTGGTGGTTCAGGTATAAATTTTACCGCATAAGTTCAGTGCCTCTCGAATGCCTAGCTAGAAAGAATCATTCTTAGAAAACAAGTATATGTGCCTCTGATAGAAAAATTAATGTCAATGATAGAAATAAAAATGGTAGTTTTTTTCGGGGGGGATGTCTCTTTAATTAGATAAGAGCTCCATCTGACATAAATGAAAGCTTGCACTCTGTTTGTAATTTAGTTTCTTAAACACAGAGTGATCTGTCTGAGCACTAATATTACTTCCTTGCAGTTGGTAAGCGCAGATGGGGTTATTAAATTAAGCAGTTGGGCAACTTGGTTTTGGGAAAATATTAGTATGATATAAATACCGTTGACTGCTGTGGGCCTGTACCTTTTGTGTATTTTTTTGCTATTAACCTTTGAGGTTTTTATTAGTACCTTCCAAAATCATCTTTTTCTAGTTGGATCTTATTTTCCAAGTACATTAGTGCTCTTTTAAGTTTAAATTGAAGAGTGTACGAAATGACCTTCTGTATATAAAATTTTTAAATTGGCTGTGACCCTCCACTTTTTAAAAAATTTCCAGGGTGCTGTTATATTTGACTGACATTCTCATTCTTACCTCTTTTTTCTTCCTCTATAAAGCCAGGGTTTTGTGCATTTTTAATCATACAATTTTAAACAGAAATCCCACAATCTAAGACACAACACAGTCCTGTCTTTTGTTCTCCTATTACACTTTTCAAGAGAGCCTCAAGCTCTTAGCACACATGAGTTATTTTATGGGCCTAGTTCATGTCCTGACATCTGTAATTGTCTGTACTCTAGAAATTTATTTGTAAGTAATCATTTAAGAAAGTATTTCTGAAAGTTTTGAAGGATTCTTAAACTAACATTTTCCCACAGAGGTAGGAAACCAAATCACATCGTAGCAATGATGCACATAACCATATTTTGGGCCTGTTGCCATCTGGAAGCTTGTACATATATCATGTTGTCCAAAGCGTTTTCTGGCCTAGCAAATAGAGAGCGGTACAGTAAATACTCCCCAACCTAGCTGAAGCATTAAGACCAAATGTGAAAACAAAATCGTAGTCTTAGCTTTTCCATGGGCTTGAGATCCCGGTCATTCAACTTTATGGAGCTCATCTTCAGATGACCCCTGTGGGGTTCTGTGGGAAAATCAGTGTAAAGAGAACTCAATTTTGTGGATAGTTTCTTTGGAAAAACAGGACAAAATTCACTTAGGACTGAAGCTTCAGACCAGTGAATATTCATAGACATTCTTAAACATTCAAACGGTTGCTAATTGGCAGTAGTCTTGCCCAGCCCCAAATTTCCCATCTCAGATTAATAGGAATCTAACTAACTATACCCCAGAGCTAGGTCTCTGCAGAATGTATTCTTCATTACATTGCTGTCCTCTGACTTTAATTAGATATATTTTGTTGATCTTGTTCTGGAAACCACTAATTATGTTTTCTCACTCCTTTGAAAAATTTTTGCTAATGGCCTTAGCAGAACCTCTGTGCCCGCAAGTAGAAATTATGGGCCTTTAAAGGTACTGCTCTTGAAAGGAATTGACAACCTGTTTCATTGCTTGCCTGGGTAAAGACTCCAGAGTTTATGAAAATTTTTGCTTCCTGGTTTTGAAACCTTCATGACACGAAAATAGTTTTGGAAGATTTATTTTTCCTTCCTGCTCACATTCTCACAACCAAATTCTTCCTAAAACTAGGGTCTTATTTTTGCTACTGAATCATGTTTGTGGTGACTGGTGCAGAACTGGGTTCCTGGTAAAATAGTTTTACCTAGAATGGATACCTCAGGGAAGGTGTCTTTTGTAAATTAGCGTTTCACATTCTCTCTGCCTGCTTTCCTGTTAGAGGAGCGTTCTTGACTCTTAGCTGAAAAGTAATTCTCTGTGCGCAACCCTGTATCACAGGTGCTGGTGACCATTTACTGGCTGGGCAAAGCGGCCAACAGCTGTGCCTCGTACAGTGGGACTACGCTGAACCTGAAGGAGTTTGAAGGCTTGCTGGCTCAGATGAGAAAGGTAACTTGGCTTTTCCTCCTCATCCCGTGAGCTTTAGACAGGGTGGGAAAGCAACACGTTTGCTTGCTTTCAAGATCATTACAGGTCCGCGTGATGAAATCACACAGGCCAGAGATGTCGTGTGCTCAGGGAAGTGACTGCTTATCTTCCCCACGACAGCTTCGCCTCCTATACCCCACCCCTACCTGAAATTTTATTCCCTTCTGAGAATGGGAGGGCTTATCTCTATCCAGCTTTCATTCCCAAAGAACAGATTCAGTCTGGCAGTATATGACTCTGGGTGCCAAAGAGCTCAGTGCCTGCTTTCTTGGGGAAATAATGCCTGAGTGAAACAACACAGTATTATACAAAAATGAAGACTCACTCTGCACTTTGATCCTAAAGGTCATTTTGCTTACCTGTCAGGGCCTTGGTATGGGTGAGGTAACATTGGCCAAGTTCTTGCCTTGCTCTCTGAAAAATTAGAAACATACTCTTCTAAGATGCATATCTTATGACCTTTGCATTTGAATGACCTGAAAATTTGGAAAACATGGTAAGAGTCAGAGCTTTGTGTATTTAATTATGGGAAAGACTGACCTAAGGTAGGGATTTGTTCAAGAAAAAGTAGTGTGTTTTATGTGTGGCTGCCTGCGTGTGCCTGTTTAAAGATGCAGCAGTAAATAAGAATTCACCCAAAGTACTAGGATATCGTATCACCCGGGAGCAGCCCCACCCAGCAAGCCTCAGTGAGTAGGGAAGACTCATTTGGAATCAGTAGCACCCATGGGTTTTGGATAAGACCCGCAGTGCAGCCAAGATAACTGAGGCCTTCCTCCTCTTTCCTCTAACGTGAAAACTAAATGCACTAATGAGACCTCAGTGAGGGACATTCTGTATTTTATAGTTTTGCTTTTAATACTGAAAGCAAGAATTTGCTGCAATTTTCTAACAATTTATTCTTTTCTCCTTAAAGCAAATAATTCTGACAGTTCTTTGTGTTTGGCTAGAAACAGGCTGGCTCACGAATGTTTAAATGGACAAAGCTTTCATACTGGTCTGTAACACATATAAACAAAGTCCTTTAAGCTCAATTCCTTGAAAAATAAACACACCGCTCAAACACATTGTTTCTTAGTCTTAACTCTTATTTGTCCTTTAATCTTCATCTCACTCAAAAGAGTTACTTAGGCAAAGTACAAAGGTGAGCTTTAGTCTGGATTTGTGAAATCTAAATGTTTATTGTTTTTTGTTAAATTTGGACTTGGATAATGATAGATGGATTATCTGTTTTAAACTATTTAAAAGCTCTGCCTCATAGTTTCCCTGCTTGATTCTCTGGAAATGTAATTTCTTCTCATTATTGACATTTCTTACTGCTAGTCTGGCTCCTTAAAAATCTGAGCATCTATTTGTCTCTGCAGCTGCAGAGTCTCTCCTAACTTCCCTTTCTTTTGAGATAGTTAGTTCTCAACAACTGCCTTGAAAGGACCCGCTATTGTGAACAGCTGTTACCTTTTTAATGAAGATGGATGTCACAGAACACAAGGGAGTAGTTAGTACCACTGGACAAAGCATACCAACTAAACAAAACCAGCCCTGGTGCTCCCATATCTCCATGTAAACTAGAGAGTAACCCACCTGAACTTCACTGGTCTGTTTGATAACTGGAAATATTAGATTGGTTTCTCCAGTAGTCATGTATGGATGTCAGAATTGGACTGTAAAGAAGGCTGGCACAGAAGAATTGATGCTTTCAGACTGTGGTGCTAGAGAAGACTCTTCAGTGTCCCGTGGACAACAAGGAGATCAAACCAGTGTCCTAAAGGAAATCAACTCTGAATATTCATTGGAAGGACTGATGCTGAAGCTGAAGCTCCAATCCTTTGGCCACCTGATGTGAAGAACTGACTCATTGGAAAAGACCCTGATGCTGGGAAAATTGAGGGCAGGAGAAGGGGGCTACAGAGGATGAGATGGTTAGATAGCATCACTGACTCAGTGGACATGAGTTTGAGAAAACTCTAGGAGATAGTGAAGGACAGGGAGGGAGGCCTGGTGTGCTGCAGTCCGTGGGGTCGCAAAGAGTTGAATAGACTTAGTGACTAAACAACAGTATTATTTCATTTTGTGTATTATTTTATCAATTAGGATTGAGTTTGGCTGGTCAATGCAGAAAACTCTACCAATGACTTAGAGTTTTATGTCAAACTCGCATAAGACCTGGACATGAGGTGTCCAGGACTGGTGTGAAGGTTTTGTGACCAGCTGGGGCCTACTGTCTTTTTACTCCATGATCCTCAACTCATAGCCTTTTGATCCAAGGTAGCCATGCAAGCTTTAGCCTTCACGTCCTCCTGTTAACCTAGAGAAATCAGGGATGAGAAGAAAGCTCTGTGCTTTACTTTAAAGACACTTCTAGGAAGTCATGCACTACACTTCTGCGTACATCCTGTTGACTTAAACTTGGTCACATGTCCATTGCTAGCTGCAAGGAAAGACTTGAGGAAAGTAGATTTTATTCCATTCTAAAAACTGCATGTGGACATTGCTGGTGGTTCAGTGGTAAAGAATTTGCCTGCCAATGCAGAAGACATGGGCTCGATCCCTGATCTGGGAAAATCCTACATGTTGCGGGGCCTGGGAGCTACAACTACTGAGCCCACATGTCACAGCTACTGAAGCCCGCATGCCCTGGAGCCATGCTCCACAAGAGAGGCCACTGCTATGAGAGGCCTGTGCATTGCAGCTGGAGAGTGTCCCTGCTCACCACAGCTAGAGAAAAGCTCCCGCAGCAACGAAGAGCCAGCACAGCCAGTAAACAAATAAAATCACAATGTCCTGCCTCCCACTGGAAAACAAAAAGCAGATTATGGGTATTTTCACTGGAAGAGAACTGGAAAACAGATACTGAGAGTCAGCTGGAATCTCTTCTGCACATACTCAGGCTGAAGTAGATTTGAAATTTAAAGCTTTTCTTTCACAAAGGCAACAATTTCTTTCATATTCATTTTTTTTCTAGTAGGAGAAATGTGCAAAAAATGATTAACGATGGTACACATTCTATAGTGCTCTTAATACGTGTGGAGCCCTTAACATAAGTGTCTGACACATACTAGGTGTCCGTAGTAGGTTGCTATTGTGTTAGAGCGTAAAGGCCTCTGAAGGCATGGTGATAATGGCCTTTCACTGGGCCTGGATATGTCAGAGAAGGTCTCCCAAAGCAGGGGACATCTAAGCTAAGCCAAGGGGAGTTACTACAAGAATAGTGAGATTGAAGGAAAAGCCATGGGGATGAGGGTGGCCCTAGAGATCTCAGGGTCTGGAACTATGTTGACTTTCTAGGTTCTTTCTTTTTCTTGCTCTCATCTCTTCCTGTCTGTCTTTGAATTCATCCTCTCCTCCTATAGGTAGACATTCTCCCATTGCAGAGACTATGGCCAAAAGCAGAATTCTCTGCTTCTAGCTCCTTGCCCAGAAAGGCAAGGAATTCTCCTCTCTGGCCCCGGCTGAAAAGTCCTGGGATGCACTCTGGCCCCGTGTGGGTTCTATTTCTGAGCTAGTCAGTGTAACCGGGAGCAACATAGACTGTGATTGGCCTAGACAACTCCTGTTTCAGATGGTGAGGGGTATTAGCAGAACATGAGGATAAAGAGGGGGGAGATGGATAGCCAACAAATACAAGACCTTGCCCTAGATGACAGCCACCATCAACTTCTATTCCCTTAATCTGCTTTATTTTTTCATGATACATACAGTCCAACTTTGTCTTCATTTACTGGTGTTTCTGTTTGCTTTTCTTCTTTCCTGCTAGAGTGTAGGGCCCAAGATGGACAGGGTGTTTCTCAAATTTGCTCAACATTATGTCCCCAGGACTGAGACAGTGCTTGGCACATAGAAGATGCTTGGTCAGTATCTGTGGAATGAATAACTTCCCAACCAGAGCATGGTGGGTGGAGACAGCTCATCAGGCTGAAAAAGTAGAACCTGAAACACTCCAGAATAGAGTTTAACCGCCTTATAAATCAAAAGAAGCAGAAAATGGTGAGCAGTAAAACAGAGGCGTCTGGAGTTTCTCAGAAAGCATAAGTCATTCACCAACCCTAGCTGGTTCTCATTATCTCCGACAAAGGAGGATGAGAAGAGGACAGATGAGTGAAATAATCCAAAAATATTGTGGAAGCTCGTAGTTCCCACCCCATTCATTAACACACTTTTACTGGAGCAACCGACAGTTAGCACACTGGAGAGCCTTAAGTCTTATCCCCTTTCCTTGGAGTGCGCTCTGCAGAAGACAGGATGCAGCTACTGGGCCAGTAGATGGGAAGCGTAGACAACATAACAGATGCAAAGAAAGGAACATTTAGACTGTGCGAGCCTTTGTGCTGTTCATATCTTCTAACCCCTCTCGCAAAGCTTGCCTTTGGGTGTCTTGATGGAATCCAATAAGATTGTTCATCCTGCTAACATCCACATCTTTGTTTCCAGTCTCTTGCTTCACCCTGAGGTTCCTATGGCCAAGGATGGCCACAGGTAGCCTGGTTTACATTTGGCAAGCTGCCATTCAGCTTCCAGCTCTCACTTGATCCAAGGTCTTGTTCTTGGCTTTCTATGAAGTCATGAACAGAATGGCCTTTCTGTTTTTCTTTCCCAGAACTACCTGTGAGAAAGCAACTGAAGCTCCAAGAAGCATGTTGACTTTCAGGGTTTTTCCTTTCTCTTCTCCTGTGGTTTGTAGGGTGGGGTGGGGAGACACTTGGGAGTCTGGGAAAGCTTTCCTGATACTTGTTGTTCAGTCACTAAGTCGTGTCCAGCTCTTTGTGATCCCAGGCACTGCAGCATGCCAGGCTCCTCTGTCCTCCACTCTCTCCCAGAGTTTGCTCAAAATATGTCCACTGAGTCGGTGATGCTATCTAACCATCTCATCCTCTATAGCCGCCTTCTCCTCCTGCCCTCAGTCTTTCCCAGCATCAGGGTCTTTTCTAATGAGTTGGCTCTTCACATCAGGTGGCCAAAGGATTGGAGCCTCAGCTTCAGCATCAGTCCTTCCAATGAATATTCGGGGTGATTTCCTTTAGGATTGACTGGTTGGATGTCCTTGCAGTCCAAGGGACTCTCAAGAGTCTTCTCCAGCACCACAGTTTGAAAGCATCAGTTCTTCGGCACTCAGCCTTCTTTATGGTCCAGCTCTCACATCCACACAGCACTGCTGGAAAAACCGTAGCTTTGACTATATGGACCTTGGTCGGCAATGTGATGTCTCCTTTTTTAACACAGTGTCTAGGTTTGTCATAGCTTTCCTAAAGACCAAGTGTCTTTTAATTTCATGGCTCCAGTTACTGCCCACAGTGATTTTGGAGCCCAAGAAAATAAAATCTGATACTATTTTCTTGAAAATTCAGTTTTGTAATGCTGTACCAAGCAGCTTGTAAAATTGTGTCATTTCTAGATATGGGCTTCCTAAGTGTTTGCCCTCCCTGATGGGAAATTGGGCCCAAGGCATCTAGTTATGGGATATAAATGGAGAAGGAGATAGAAGAGTATCAGTGTTTATATAAGATTATGTCCTTAACTGCACTTATAAATTTTGTATGATTTATATATTGACATTTTCATGCCAAATGAATGCATAGCTAACATTTTTTGAGCACTTACGCATCAGGCATTTTTCTGAATGCTTTCCATGTAGTAATATATTTAACCCTCCCAGCAACCCTATGACATAAATATTATTTGCTCCATTTTACAGATAAGAAAACTGAACTTGGCCAAGGTCAAATAACTAGCCCAAGATCAGACAGCTGACAAGGGGTGGAGCCAGGAGTCAGCTGAGCTTCCAAGACCATGCTTTTAACCTACTCCAAACTGTTTCTCTTTTGCAGCAGGTATAGGTTGGGAATCTAGGCATACACAGCATTTAGTGAAGGGGGACTATCCAGGTTAGCATCATCCAGTATAAGCATGGGTCTTCCCAGATGGCACTAGTGGCAAAGACCTACCTGCCAATGCAGGAGACATAAGAGACACAGGTTCGATCCCTAGGTTGGGAAGATCCCCTGGAGAAGGGCACAGCAACCCACTCCAGTATTCTTGCTGGGAGAATCCCATGGACAGAGGAGTCTGGTGGTCTGTAGTCTGTAGGACTGCACAGTCAGACACAACTGAAGCGATTTAGCATGCAAGTGTAAGCAGGCAGTAAGTATACAGCAGTTGAAAGAGGTGATGCTGCTGATGACAGCTGTCACTATACTGAAGTTCATCTGATGTCAGCTTTTGCCATGTGGTAGTTGGAGACAGAGTCCTCTGTCAGAATCACAGCTTGGCCGATTACTGCGTGACCTCAGTCAAGTTACTCGAACTCTCTGATTCTTTTCTATAAAATGGGGACAACGCCAATCACATCACTGGGGAGTAGGTTGTGCAGATTGAATAATAGAGCCTACAAAAAGCATCAAGCATAGCCCCAGACACAGAGTAAGTGTTCAATAACATTAGCCATTTGGCCTGTTCTCAGTGGATAAATAACCCAAGATAATTACTTGCATTTCAAAAGAAATTAAATGCAAAACCATATCCAATTTAGATATATAATTTTCAGTTAGTCATGAGTTCTTCGTTTTCCTGCTAAAAGTCAGGCCTGGCTTTTGTACAAGCCCTGGTTAACTTTTGACCTACAAGTAAACTACCTTCATTTCCATAACTGGAATTTCTGCCTTCCTCCGGAGGGTCATGTCAGCTGGACTCACCCAGGCCATATTCAGGTCCTCGGTGGCAGCTGCAGGGTGCCTCTCTCCACACTTCCCTTCCCCTCTCGCTCACTCTGAGCCCTGGTGCAAGAGCTGCGTGTGCCCTGTGAATGACACCCACTCTGTCCCCCAGAGGGCCCCCCGCGGGGGAGAGTCAGCGGATCTAACTAAAGTCAGAGTCAGAGGTTATAACTGATGGAAGCCGCTGGACAAGGCAATTCCTACAAAGACACTGGCTGTGGTGGGCATATAAGTCAGTGTAGACAGTGTTTAAAAATTGCTGACATGGAGTCTATTTGTTTGTTTGTTTTTCCTTTCTATGGGGAATGTGGAGGGTACCTGCCTGAGCAACCCAGGAAGTCTACAGTGGGGCCTTTCAGTCTTTGTGGATGTCATTCACAGCCCTGATTTTAGGCAACAGTCTGGGAGAGATTAAACTGAGGTTTATCTTTGAGTGACCGGAGTTATTTCTGTTTTCGTCAGCTTGGACTCTTGTAATTAATGCTAAGACACTGGCGGGAACAAGGCTTTTATTATAATGTGAGGGTGAGGATGGCTTTGACTGACCTTTCTTCTGCTGGAGTTTCAGTGTTTTAGTATGTGCTGCTTGCGCTGGAAAGAATTTATAATCACAGGCTGTCAAAGACAGCCATTGTTTTCACTGCTCTGAACATGTGGGTCAGCCACAAGTGCTTTCAGCTCGCCCAGCGCCAAGAGCCGGCCGAGAGTGAGAGCATGCCTGGATTCTTCTGAAGCATCAGGAAAAGCATTTTGCATATTTTTCACTGCTTCTTTTTTTTTTTTTTAACTTTTTGCCCCAGAAAAGACAGCTCCCTTTCAGAGCAGGAATTTCCCTTCAAGGTAGCAGAAGATGGAGCATACTGCTCCAGGATTTTATGAAACTGATTCTGCTGCAAAAACAAATGCTGTGTGCCTCAGCCAGACAGCATAAGCAGAAGCAGTTGTACAACTCAACGAGGGGCTGGGTCCCGGAACAGACATGCAGTTATGGATCCTGAAAGACGGGTCAAGGTTAAGCTTTTTGTTTTTCACTTTTCTTTACATCTTTTATTGTATTCTTGTGAATCCAAACTTGATGATCTTTTATTCTTGATTTCTCGAATTTTTTTCTTTAAACATTGTGGACTACGAGATGCCTGGGGATTATTTTTTTTTAATGCGTGTGATTTTCTGATTGAGAAAGTTGTAGCAGGGAAGGGTTGAAGAATGAAATGTTGACTTGCAGATGATAATCAATGTGATAACTGCTTGCTGTAGCCTTTCCAGTGATTCTGTATGCAGGATTTTTTGGAGACCGCCAGGGACTGATTTTTCTGAGATTCATAGGCTCTGTGTCTGTTGCAGTAAGGTCTGTAATCCTTTTGTTTTCTTCTTGAACAGGAGGCTGATGACATTGAGAGCCCTAAACGTAGTATTCGAGACAGTGGTTACATCGACTGCTGGGACTCCGAGCGCAGCGACTCCCTGTCTCCCCCTCGACACGGCAGAGATGATTCCTTCGACAGCCTGGACTCCTTTGGCTCCCGTTCCCGGCAGACTCCTTCGCCAGATGTAGTCCTCAGGGGAAGCAGTGATGGTAGGTTGGAGCCTTAATAAACTGCACTTCTTAGAATGAAACACTAACAAGAGCTGCCTTGTCCCCAGCCGAGAGATTGGCACTGGGAAGGCGGACTCCATACCTACCTTGCGGCAACTCTAAACTGGTAGGAAAAAAAATCTCTTAATGTTGTTTTTTGGTGGTCCTTAGAATTTGGGTTCCTTTGCCAGCAGTTGGTTTGAACATTGCCTCAGTGAGCATATCTTCTGTTGGAAAATGTGTTACATCATTCCTCCCTGGGTCTCACTGAATCAAGAGGCTGTACAGACCATTAGCTCATAAAGTGTGCTGGAGGTTTATATGTTCCAGGTACGAGGAAGGGAAATGCTTGAGTGAGTACCACACTGTATAAGTGAAAATGGATCAACTTCCAGCAAACTGGAAACACACGGCCCAGACTTATGACAGCTCGGAAGCTTGGGACTGTGAAACTTTAATTGGCATGGTTTTGCCAATATTCGATACTTATGGTAACTGACCGTTGACTAGAGCGATGCAGGTGGTCCTTGATGTATTGAACACAACCCAGACTGCTTGTTTCTTCAGAGGCTGGGTTTGATTTAAATCTCCTGGATTTTATATCACCTGAAAGGAATGATAATTTTTCTTTACAAAAATGTATGGTCATGCAACCTGATGTAAATTTAATGCATATTTTCCAGAAGCTGTTTACCTTACTTATCTTGTGCCTTTGTGCTTTTGTTAATAAGAAGGGAAGATAGCTTGGTTCTGCATGGAGAAACTTGGAGAAAGACTCTCAGGGGAATTCTTTTATTTGTGTCTATTTCTTTTTATTAGGAAAAGAAATAATTAGCTTCTGATTGAAGCTCATATGTCTAGAGACTTTAAGTCTTCTGTCTGAGATGAAAATTTTATTTTATAGCTGAAAGATCCCTTCCAGTTATAAAATTCTATGTTACCGAAATACTTGGGTATTTAATATGCCCAGGTCCTGAGTTCATTACTTGACCTCTGGTATCTCATTTAATCCTTAGCACAGATTATGAGATGCCCAGTATGTGAGTTAGTTCTCTCACAGGGCTATGAAACACTCCTTAGCCATATTTTACAGATGAATCTTAGGTTAAGAAACCATCCTAACATTATAAGTGCCCCAAATCACTGTAAGCAGAGTGACAATGTCAGCCTCGAGAAGTGTGAGTCCAAAGCTTATACCCTAAAGCTTAATTTACTTACACTTCTTTCTGTTTGCTTAATAGATTTTTCAAATTCTAGCGTGACTGAACTAATGCTTTTGTTTAGTACTTAAACTTGCCAGCAAATAGATTAGCCTCAGGGCCATATCGTATGTGACTCCTAAAGAATTCCATGGTGCATTGTGAGCTGCTTGAAAAACATTTCTACAATTTTACATGACATCTTAAGTCCCACCCACAGTATTAGAAGTGGCAATACCAACTGCATGATCTAATTGAACTTTAACATAACTCAAAGAGAGATTTACTTTCATGAAACATATCATAACTAAACTATTGCATCCATATTATTTTGATTGTTTTAAAGAATTATTGTTGTCTCATCCTGGTTTTTAATAACTGGTAATGTGGATCCTTTATTTATTCTGTCACCAGCTTTGAGGGGTTCATAGTTTATAATGAGCCACATCTTGAAGGGATTTGAGATGGTAATTACTAATATTGTCCTAATATGTGCTCAGGCACAATTTCATTTGCAGCAATTAAGATTGATAAGCCAGAGTCTTTTCATAACAGTTTTTCCCATGTAGAGAAAAACATGAAATTGAGCTTCACAAAACACCATCCGTGAAAGAGCATCTTAACATACAGATTTCACCAATCAGTCTGATACCTTCAGGCTCATATTCTTGTAAACTAATCAAGACCTAATGAGGTTTTAAAGAAAAACAACACTTTTTGTCTGCCTTTAACAATGTGGTATAATTTTATCCAAATTGATGTTGTATTTCATTAGAGTTTATGGTATATTTTTCAAGTGATGTAATCAAGAAGATTGCTAGTCCTAATAAACACTTTCAAATTTAGAAGAACTTTTTTTTTTTTTTTTAATTCTTGAAAATTTACTTCCTAAGACTCATAATCAACTAAGGAAAGTCTTACCATGAAATTTTCCAACTCCATATTGGGTCGAGAGAGAGTTTTCGTTTTGTTATTACTGAGGCCCACTGACCCATTCAGTAGGGGTAGTCAAGAGCCACGCACATAAGAGGTGCCGTGACTCTATGGGTTGGACACAAGAGCCACACGGTAAGGAAGCTGTGGGTCCCCAGGTCAATGCAGCCACTCCATCTTGCCTGACAGGCCCCCAGTTCCTCCCTCGCTTTCACTGACGTGCCTTCTGAGGCGAGCTCCACTGAAGAGGAAATACAAAATCTTCCACTCGGATGCTTTGAAAATTAAGAACATGTTTTATAAACGTAATGCATTTTGTTAAATGAATATTCTTATCTCTTATATAAAAGGCTGGTTAAGGGAGAGAAATAAGGAATGAGAGAAATTAAAGTACTGGAGGAAGATGAAAAAGTAAAGGTTGGTGGTGTATATGGTAAAGTCACAGTGAAGCGAGGCGCTCAGTCATGTCTGACTCGGGGCAATCCCTGCCCTGCTCCTCCGTCCATGGGATTCTCCAGGTGAGAGTCCTGGAGTGGGCTGCCATTTCCTTCTCCAGGGGATCTCCCGACCCAGGGATCGAACCCAGGTCTCCTGCACTGCAGGCAGACTCTTCACCATCTGAGCCACTAAGGAAGCCCGTATATGGTAAACATGGGTTAAAAAAAAGAAAGACCCCTAGTTGTTGGAAGGGAGAGAAATGTAGACCCAGTGGAAAGGAAGGATCGGACTTTGATAAAAGGATGTCATCATGGTCATGTGCACTATTGGGCATAGATGGAGAAACCATCCTAGTACATTTTCATCTTTTCAGGATGAAGTCAAAATCTTTTGAAGTCTTGGCCTGAGATAAGAAGAGTTCTAACACTTGGGTGCTTTAGGTATCAGGTAATCCTCACAACAACTCATGAGAGCTGTATTATCACCTTATTTCCAATGAGGACCCTGAGGAACAGAGGGCATACATTCCCCAGTCACACATCTAGGCGATGATGGAGCTGAAATTAGACCCTGGTCTCCAAGTCCAGGTTACACTGCTTTCAACTAAGTCACTCTGCCTCTGGGCATTTGTAAATTAACTCTTTTTGAAGTGTCTGTTGAAGACATTTATCAAAGAGTAATTGAAGAGGCAGGGGAGGTGATCTGTTTATGTGTTAAACAACCTATTTTGAGACTCTCAGTGTATTATAGGTAATATGTTTTTAGATATTGTATCAAAATAAGTTTCATAGATTATAGCGTTTTAGAACAGAGTGAATAGTGACAGCTCTATTCCATGCTAGGCCTTCACAGTTGATTGAAGAATCACTTTCTTTCCTTCATCTATTCAGTGAAGTACAGTCAGGATGCTTTAAGCCGGGGGCATTGTACCCAAAGTTAGAAAACTGCAATAGTGCATGTGATGATGATGATATCATTTTATCAAACTCTGATCCTTCCTTTCCCCAGGGCCATGTTTCTCTCCTTCCAGCAACCAGGGGTCTTTCTTGGGCGGGAATCTGGAGAACAGAAATTGGAGTCTTGAGCTGTTACTGACCAGCCTTGGAGAAGGGGCCCTTTGGGTCTCTCTGAGTCTCTGTTTTCACCTCTGTGTCATGGGAAAAATATCAAATAGGGAAACAAATCCAAGTGCCTGGCAAGGTAAGGTAGTATTAGTGTTTGTTATAAAGCAATTCACCGAGGGCTCTAAGTATTTTGTTATGATACTGAGACAGATATACGTGCTAAAAGACTTGGGGTGAGAGAAGGCAACTAAGTTATGAATCAAAAACCAACAAGTAATGAAATGGTCAAAACTCCAGAAGGGAGGCTGAAAGCCAGTGACATGAATAATTCATAAACTGAACATTTCATCTGCAACAATGAACAACTTGTTTATGGTCAATGCTTTTAACTTTTACTGTTGTTTAAAAGCCATTAAATCATTTAATCTCCAGGGCAAGTTATTTCATTACTATTTTTTTACAGAAAAGGATGAGCAGGTGTATTAGAGACAAGCCTGGGAGCCCACAGCTCATCAGATGAGCTGACAGATGACAGCTCGGGAACTATTAGCATGAAGAGCAGTCAGTTTTTGTTAAGCGCTTACTCAGGACCAAGTACTGTAGCAGTAGTCTCACACGAATCTGATCCTCCCAACAGTGCTACGAAGTAGGTGATACTGCTATCCTCACTATATTATAGACTGGAAAACTAGCGGTGTTACTTTGGCATTGGTCCCTGCACCACTCGAAGCCTTGGTGAGTGGCAGAGCTCAGTACAAAGTGGATCTGACTTAACCACCCGCACTACCCGCTTCTCTAAGGCTGCCACATCTCTCGACTTTTAGTTTAAGGCTCTTTTCACAAATGTAAAGAAGTCAATTTCTGTTTGCTATCAATGGAGTTGAAGGACCGTTTTATAAGGCACTCACTGATTTAAGAGTTTTCAACCAGCGTTCAGATGGTGGCTGCCTGTCACAGGAGTGGTGTTTTGATGACAGTTTCAGTCCAGTGGATGTTAGAAATCTGATGAGATGAGACTCAGGAAACAAGGATACAGTATAATTTGGATACTGCCCAGTGAAAGAGACTGATGTTGGTACCGTTGAATTCCTTTGTGTTGTATGGAATACTCTTTAAGCTAGACTAATTCATTGATTCATCTGATCCTTTGAGTATATCCACTGTGTGCAAAGACTGTGTGATAAGTACTGTGAAGGGTATAAAGCCCTGTTCTCAAAATACAAAATAGAAAGGATAAAGTGCCAGAAGAAAAATAGATCATCGGGCCATAGTGTTCACAGGAAAAAGCTGCCTCCAGCTCTGGGTACCAGGAAGGGCCCTGATATAGAGGAATATGCATTTATTATAACTCAAGCCATTTCCTGGAAGGCAAACTCTTGGTATAATCCATACTGAACATTTTTCTGAATTCCTATAGTTCTTATATGTCTGTGCTCCTTGATTATAACGAATATTCTCCAGGTGTTTCATGAATTGGTTAAAGATACGTCAAAGACAAAGGATTATAAATCTTTTATAATTCTTATTTGTGAGAATATCTAGTGCGGGATAAGACATGCAACAACAGGTGCTGTGTAAAAACTCCATAAATTTATTTTTTCTTTTGAGACTTGCAGAATCTGAGCAGGCATATAGTCCGATTGCAAATGTGTTGTTAATTGTAACTCTCAGATTCAGCTAAGCTTACTTCTTTTTTTTTTTTTTTAATTTGACTTTTTTCTCTCTTGATTAGAATTGAGAGCTCTTCCCAGAGTAGACTAACTTCAACTGATACTTTCTATTTGTTAAGTGAATAATTTAAGGAAGTAGTGCCCGGAACCCACAGATTTAACCACATCCCCCATACTGTATACTTGCCTTTGGAATTTTATCGCTAGCCCGGCACACTGTCTCAGCACCTGTCCTCTCTCCCCAGGGAGGGGGAGCGACTCTGAATCCGACCTGCCCCATCGGAGGCTGCCCGATGTGAAGAAGGATGACATGTCTGCGAGGCGGACGTCCCACGGTGAGCCGAAATCAGCAGTGCCTTTTAACCAGTACCTCCCCAACAAGAGCAACCAGACAGCTTACGTCCCTGCGCCTCTGAGAAAGAAGAAGGGGGAGCGAGAGGAGTATCGGAAGAGCTGGAGTACCGCCACCTCCCCCCTGGGTGGGGAGAGGCCCTTCAGGTAAGACCTGGGCCGCGCTGCTCCTGTCCTGGCTTGTGATGCAGGAACTACGGCCCCTGGACATGAATGAGCCCCAAGAGCTACTATAGACCATTGATGTGAGGTTACAGGTGGAGGTGGGAAGAACAGACCTTCAGAGAGACATCTTCAATAGGACAGAAGCTTCGTGAAGGCACCTACAGCTGTGCCTGGCTCACAGTAGGTGTTCAACCAACACTGGTCTGTCTAATGAGTAGATTTTTGAAACCAGCTCCATCATCAGGACATTGAAAGCAGATCTGTCATCCATATCCTTCTCTGGAGACTATCTGACTCCCAGTCCTGTTAGATCAGGTACAATAAGACCTTTTATCTACATGGAAGTTTATCTAGACATAAGCTCAAGCATTATGTAAGGGATGCGTGAACATGCTTGAGTCGTAGGTAGAAACAAACAGTCCTAATGAAATGGAAGAAGCAATGGACTTCTCGTCACTTTTAGGGAAGCAAGCAGTCTTTCCCCTAATCTCTGATTATGTTTTTGTATTTCTTCATTCATTTATTCAGTAAGAATGTATTTATTGAGCATCTACCATGTGCTAAGTAGTAGATCTTTTAGGTGTTGGGGACCCAGTAGAAGGTAAGATAGAGTCTTTGCCTTCAAGAACCTTATAGTCTAATAAAAGAAATTTATAACCTGGTCTAATCCTTTTAGCAAAACCATCCTGATCATTGCTTGGTTATTTTTTATAGTCTACCTTTATTATCTATGATTTTCCATTGAGTAAACATTTTCTTCAAAGTTGTAGTTATTAAAGAAAACATGAATTTTGCCTTTCTGTCAGAAAAGGTTTTTGCCTATCAAAGTTTGAAATAGCTTTCAATCAGTGTGGCGATCATGATGTGTTATATTAATTAACAAATGGCTACATTTAATTTTCTTCACATTACCAGAATAGTATTGCATACTATGATCTTTTTTCAAGTGGAAGTAATATCAGAATGACCAGGAGCTGATCTATGATCTGCTCCCCAGCCTAGTGAGTTAGTTTGGTCAATTATGTTGTCCAACTCACTAGCTATCCTGAAACGATAGAGGAAGAGGAAAGTGAAGTGGGGTCTCCTTGTGAAGAGGACCCCATCAGTCAAATGGACACCAGTGGGAAGCCTCCTGATGGTGGGTCAGAATTACCCACCAGCTGTGGGAAGGAGCAGCCTCCTCCAGAGGGGACTGTGGTGGCACCAGCTCCCAAGTCGGAAGAGAAAGCTGCTGCTGAAATGCAGAAGCGCAGAAGGCTGGAGCAAGCCGGAATCAAGGTCATGCCAGCAGCCCAGCGCTTTGCCAGGTTAGCTGTGCAGGCCAAGGACTGGCCTGGCTGGCTTTGTGCATGCCCGGGGCTTGGAATCTGTCTGATGTGGTGGAGTTTCCATCTTGTTTTCCCACTTCCTGCTTTACCCGTTGCATCATTATTTCCTACTTGGAGCAAATAGAAATAGCTAATCGTCTTTGCCTTCAGGCCTGTCTCTGCTGAATTTTTGGTTATTTTAAAGGGAGGTAAAGAGTGAGCTTCGTGCTGCTTGAGTAGAAGGCCTTGTCCTGGTCAAGGATGTGTGGTCAGTCACTTGTGGGCCACGGGATGTATCTGGCAATAACATCTGATTTTTCGATTGTTAATGGCTTGTTAATATTCACACTAAATGGCTCTTATCTTCCTTTACACATCACTAGAAAATCGTTCCTTTGGCATGGGAAGCACTGTCTTTAGAAAGAGTGGCTGTCTGACAAAAATCCACTTACTTTCTTTGTCCCAAGGGAGTAGTAAGTACGATTAGGTCTCTTTGACTCATGTCTAAAACTTGTAGATTCAACAACAAAGAATGGAGTAATTGCTTCTCTTCGTTGTAACGGAGGCACTAGTATCCGTCCTGGTGGCCTCGAGTTATGTGAGCGGCGGGGACCCTCAGTAGCTGGAGTCACAGAGAAATGTGATTTTCAGTTTCATGTAGTGTTGGGAGAAGCCAGTTAATTTTTGCCCTGTAATAGCCACGAAGATCCTAGCAGATAATAGTGAGACCAAAATTTACTGGACAAATGGTAATTCACAAGAGTTTGACCGTCGAAATTCCTTTGCCACTTGCTCTTTCATTGAATCCTGAAAGGTAGGTGACATACCCATTTTTCCAAGCAGAGTAAGCGGAGGATCGGTGAACGTTAGCCACTTCCCAGTCTCTGGGACGCTTACTGCTGACCTGGCGGCCGCCTTCAGCTGTTCTCCGGCCACAGCGTTACGGCTGCCTCCGCACATTTGACAGAATGTTCTCCATCCCTCTGTGCTGCTCCCTGTGTGGTCACTGCTGTGGTCTAGATCTTCACCGAAAATTCCAGCACTGGCTTATATGGATTTAATCTTAGGGTGGCTTTGTATTGATAATACACCAAGGATATAATTCTTCCTGTCTGTGGTGTCCCACAGGTGAACACGTCTGTCCTAAATGTGTATGTGCTTCTAGAAGACTCTGACATAAAACTGTGCTTATGCTACAAGAAACTCTCGGGGTTTCTAAAATTATAAAGGGTCATGTCATAACATCTTAAAAACAGAAATAAATCCAGATATTCTTTAAATTGCAGTTCAGAGACCTTTTGAGACACATGCTGTTTCAACATCATTTGAACGTCTATGTATATCAGAGACCCGGCTAGGTGCTGAGAATATCAAAATGGAGTATATCCTCTTACTGGTTTTCAGTTTTTCCTGCTTCTGTCTTCAAGCCTAGGGCACTGTGGAAATAAGTAATAAGTGATACAGATAAGAGAGTGCATTTATTAAAAAAAAAAAAAACGCTTTAATCTTAATTTTCTTGACACACATACCTTCACTTTTATCACATCTGTGAAGTCTGTAACTAAAAGTTACCGAAGACACCATCATCTTTTTTTATTGTTTTTCTTGTTATTTTCAAAAATTGCCTATCTTGTTTATGATGAATAATGATGTGGGAGTGCAAAGATCCCTTTGGGAATCCTGGTTTGAGTTCTTTTGGATATATACCCAGAAATGGGATTGCGAGGTCTTGTTCTGCTTTTACTTTTTGAGGACCCTCCCCGTGTCATCTTTGTTGTTACTACTGTCCAGTCGCTAGGGCATGTCCAACTCTCTGAGTTCCCATGGACATGTCATCTTTAGAGTATCCAGAAGAACATGGGGAGACAAGTGGGCAGAGACTTGAAGCGTACGCGGCGCACCCAGGAATCGTGGTAACGTGGAGAGGAGAAGAGAGTGGGCAAAGGCTGGGGATTCCATGAGCATCCTGTGCTTCTTCAGTAACTGGAAGTTTATTTTCTGATAAAACAGTGCAGTCTTTTATGACAGCTCCCATCCTATGCACAGACCTAGAATCGTAGTTAGTCTACAACCATGAATTCTAATTGAAGAATGATAGTATATTTGTGTGGTAATTTTTGCTCCTGTCCATGTTCCTGGGATCTGGCTTAGTTTTTCCATATTTTATCCAAGTTAGGTCTATTAAGCAGAAATTTGCAGGTCAGTTAATGTCTGCAGATGTCAGTTAACGTCATACTTTAGAGCTACTGACTTAGCATTTTAAATGGAGTTCAGGAAAATCATGCATATTCCCAGAGAATGTTCCCAATAGCAACACAACACAGCTGCTCCAAACACCCAGAATTCATTTGTTAGAGAGATTTTTCAGCTGCTAGCTCTCTCATAAAAGTTTTATATAGACCATGCCACCAGCCTGCCCTGTCTGTGTCTTTGTCACTTACTTTTTGCAGCCCACAACGGAGTCAACAGCCATCCTAAATTTATCACATTTTGGATCCTGCTTTTAATGTGGCAGAAAGTAGCTTAACTGGAATGAAATGCATCTCATGAGGAAGGAAAGGATTCTTGGTGTCTGGAAAATAAGACTATGAAATATTTCAATATGCTGATGTCTTTTAAGGCATTTTAACTTCAGTCTCCTATCTTTGCAATCCAAATGCATTCTGGCCACCACATCTTGGAACCCAACAAGAGGCACCAGATACTTCTTGTGCCTATTTCTGAGCTGAGAAAGTCTGTGCTTGCAGAGATGGGGAGAGAATGAGGTTCAGGCAAAGAAGGAGGCGTGTAGATGAGAGGCAGGCCTGACTTTTGTAGACCAGTTTTTGATGGTTGTGTCACAAGTATTCTCAAACACCTCCTTGAATTATTTTTAATACCATATAAAAACGAGCAAAAGTGCATGAGTTTTCTAGTCGAGAAGTCCCAGGCTTCCTGTCAAAGAATATGTTAGGAGGTATCTTAGTACCATGGGACAGAGTAGGTCTTTCTTATTAAATACGTCTGCCATTGAAGTCAGAAATGCATAAACTACTTTTCCTTCCATGTTTATGATTTTAGTTTATGATGTAGTTAGCTTAATTACCCCCCAAATATGAGACTCTGCCAGAGAGGCTGAGATTTCTGTGTTTAAGAGGATAAAATAAGAACCAAGATTCACTTCTCCTGAATTAAAATGCCATGGAGATTTGAATTCTCCGACTTGGTGTTTCCCATTGGAGAAGTAAACTTGTTTTTGAACTGAATTATAGGTTTCACGTGATTGGGCTTCTTTTCTAATTGTTTTCATATGTTTCAGCACTCAGTCTTTTCTCCTAGTCTGTGGATCTTCTCAGGCACATAGTAATTAATCACAGAGAGGGGAAAAAACCCTCCAAGGAACAATAGACATTTTAGAAGCCTTTGGAGGAAGAGCAGATGCAGCTAAGTGCCAGACACGTATTCCTCCTTACCAGATGCCTGTGTATCACTGGCTGTTGCCGAACAGATTCCGGGGGACCAGGGACCAGGCAGACACAGGATGTGTGTGAACCTCTGTGACTCTGGATGTAGCTGCCCTGGTTGGGAGGTCTCTGGTAGTGCCCGTGACATTCCCAGGAGGCCTAACAGGCTTTTCTGGAGGGCCCGGTTTCTTCCAGTGGAACAAACTGACTGCTAGTCTGAGCTGATTGCTTGTGTGCCGCCAGTTAAAAGGGGGTGAAAGAAAGTGCCAGCTTTTCCTCAGTTGAAATCATTATCTCACTCACTTTGAAATATATAAGCCTCAGAAGCTTTAAGACAAGGGCTTTTCTTCCCGTTCACCTGCTCAGAGCCTACAATCTCTCCTTCAAAGATAGCCTTACTTGTTTTAGGACAGAGTTGCCAGGTTGGAGGCAGGGCTTGGCATTTCTCATGTCACATTGGACTGTATACCTCCTAAGTAAAGCAATGAGCTAGGCCCACCGAGGAACCCCTTCTTCAACACAACTTATCTATGAATAACTCTGAAGAAATAGTGCCAAACCTGCCCCATGAATATCAAGCCAGATAGCCAAGGTCTGCCACTTAAATGTGCTTACTCTACTTCCATTCAGATGACCATAACTGGAAACCTCAACATTCCCCTCTGCAAAGTGGTCATTGTAATTCCAATCTTACAGCGTTGTCTTGAATGTTAGTGTATCTGGAATATACGAGCTCTTCAGAGCTATTGTAATTATTATAAAAACAAAGTAGCGTATACTGAAGGTTTACAATAACCTGACCTTCAGAAAAGAAGGGCACATTATAAAAAGTCATTTAAATATTTGCTAACTAGATACCTGTGTGCATAAGCCTTCATATTTGCCTTATATACATTATTTATTACTTCATAGCCAACAGTGCCAACCCAGAATTTATGTCATTAAATTTTTTCTCTTTCTGAGTCTGCCTTGAAGTTCTGAATTTACAGGATTCAAGCAATTAGCAGAATGTCATTATGATCATTATTCAAGTGGGCAGGGAGTGGCTTTAAGTGGCCAGTGATATGGAAAGCTTTATTCACCCTCTCTTTTTAAACCTGCATATCTAAACTGAGATCATTTGAAATGAGTCCAGCCACACTGGGCATTTAGCCTAAAAAGAAACACCCCAGGGAATTTGTAGCCTAGCTGGATTCACGTGATGCATAAGGCAGTAGATTCTCCTTGCTCAAATTGGCATGGCTGTTTGCGTAAATGCATATGTTTTATCCCATAAAATTCTGCTTGAGTTGGGAGAGATTGAAGCCCAGGACTCTGGTCAGAAAACAGAAGGACTGTTGCTTTTGGACTTGAGAGCTTCAAGCTCAGGGTCTGCTCTGGTTGAGATGAGATAATGAATTAGAAAGGACTTTGTAAGCTGTAAAGTGCTGTGCAAGCCCTGTCAGGTATGGTTAGCCAGCCTCCTATTGTCAGTCCTGGCTGAGCATTACCATCTGCAACTAGCAGTGCCAGCCACACCATTCCGAGCACAACTCGCAGGGCCCCTTTATTTAGTGACCAAAATGCTTCTCTGTCTCCTATTTCCATAGTAATGATAATGCCTTATTTTTTACACGATGCTCCACTTTCAAAACTTGCAGGAGATATCTTGTGTTTAATGAATAGTAGAGTGGTTAAGAAGAGGACCTGTGGAGCCAAACGGCCTGGGTTTGACTTGTAACTTAAGCAATGGCACTTTGACCTTGGGCAAATTTATTCTCGTAATCTCAGTTTCCCCTCTATAAAATGGGGATGCTAACCCCACTGCCATTGCAAGGCTAGTGTTATAGTTAAATGAATTAACACTAGAAGGAATTCTAGCCCATGGCAGGTGCTCCATAATAATGAACCACCCTCTTTATCATCATCACTGTGCTGTTTAAATAATGAGTTTTCGAAGAGATTGATTCAGTGGCCTCTCATTTCCCACTGACCATTCTTTATGGCCACAGTCAGCCAATGCCAGTTGGTTCTTGCCAGACTTGTTGGCTAGGGAGGCAGGGAAGAGAGTGTAACGCAGTCCAAGAGGGGCCAGGCAGGACGTGAAGAGCAGGGCTGCTCAAAGGACAGTGTTTCATATATTAAGAAATGAATTTAATTTGCACAACATGGATGGACCTAGAGATTGTCCTATTAAGTGAAGCAAGTCATACAGAGGAAGAGAAATATGTGATATCATATGATATCATGTATATGTGGAATCTAAAAAATGATACAAATGAACTCACTTACAAAACAGAAATTGACTCACAGACATAGAAAACAAACGTGTAGTTACCAAATGAAAAAGAGAGGGAAGAATAGATTAGGAGTTTGGGATTAATAGATACACATCACTATATACAAAATAGACAACAAGGACCTACTGTATAGCACAGGGAACAATACTCAATATAGTAATTTTAATGGAAAAGAAGCTTAAAAAATATATATTAATATATAGAGCATTTATATATTAATATATATATACAAATGTATATATAACTGCATCTCTTTGTTGTACACCTAAAACTAACACAACATTGTAAATCAACTATATTTCAATTAAAAAAATTTAAAAGAAATAAATTTATTCAAGAAGCATCACCCATCACCTCTAAATTCCATGATTTAAAATTTTATTGAGAACAGTGGTCAGCAGGGAGAAAGAGTTTTCTGGGCATGATGAGAGATGCCCAGATTTTGATTTTGACTTTCCAGAAGTCAGGTGGAATGAGGGCCTACTGTCACCTAAAGCTGATGGCCTCCTCTGGACAGTGGGCCAGGTCAACCAGTGTAGACAGTATCTCCTTGCTCTTAGCCAACCTAATTCCTCCTGTCTTCATTTTTGAGTTGACCTCTCCCATGAGCATGAAAAATTTACTCTTAATCCTCTCTCAGAATTGGATACAAAGTAGTTGAACTTCCTTTGGAAATCAAGATGTTTTATTTACTTATCATCTCTATGAACTGAAAAGATAATAAATCATTTTTTAAGTTTTAATATTTTATTCTGATTTAGAAGCTAGGCTGATCTTATGAGTAGGGGGAGGAGTTTGTCTGAATATCAGAAAGGCACCATCAACTGTATTCTCACCCTGCCTGCCCCCGACAAAAGCAAAAAGCATAAAAAGTCCTAATAGTCCACCATTAAACTGCATTTCTCCAAGAACTTAAAGTTTGGGGCCTTCAGGATTTCTTTGAAAATGAAAATAGTCCTAAGTAAACATCTTGACAGAATGCCTTAACACAATTTACTTGACAATTTACTATGACAAAGAAGAAGAGCTGAAAGGTGGAGAATAGTGGGGGTAAAAGCCTGAAGAAAGGATTGCAGGTGGGAAGGAGCAGGGCGAGATAAGCTTTTGTGCCTGAGTCCATTCTATAAATGGTCATAGACTATCCCAGTTGCTTCAGGTTAGCTCAGCTTTGCAGGAAGATTATCCTTACACTTTGCAGTCTGGTACACGTCCTGGCTGTGCCGTCACATAGCTGCACTCAGTAGCGTTCCCCCAGGTTAGTTTCTTGGTGGCTCACATTTTTGCCCTGACAGTCAAAATAAATTGAGTACCTATTGGGTGTATTACTAATGTGCTAAAGAAAAAAGTAACAGAAAAAAATGCTTCTTGGGATTTCCCTGGTGGTCCAGTGGTTAAACTGTGTGCTTCCAATGCAGGGGGTGTACCCCTGGTCAGGGAACTAAGATCTCACATGCTGTGCAGTGCAGCCAAAAAAAAGAGAAAGAAAACCAACAACAGCAACCAAAAAAACCACAAAGTCATAAAAATATTTTTTAGATGCTTCTTATTTTTCCCAGTTTCATCAAAGAATTTGGATTGTCACTTTCAGAGCCATTTAGGACCCTGTCTTTCTCATGCTAATGGAGCGCTGCAAGTTAAGTGAATGTTAGTGCTGCTGGTAACTGGCTAAATTCTGGCTTTTGAAACCCACCCTAACTCTGCAACGCTGGATTAAAGTAGTAAACAGATGTCATCTGGACTAACGATATCGAGAAGACCTTTCACTAACAAGACAGTTGTCTGCCTGCCAGTGGGGATTTAAAAACTGCTTTGGTCTGATCACATGTGGAGTTCCATTTAATTTTGCTCTGTCAGTCAAAAGCAATTAAATGATGAGAAAGAAGCTGTTCGCAATATTATCCTTCGTAAAGAAAACCCTTTCCTGGTCCACCAACACGGCAGAGATTCAGAATCAGAAGATGAAGTTGCATGTCGACTGCCTGATCTTGAGAAAGATGACTTTGCTGCTAGGAGAGCAAGGATGAACCAGACAAAGCCAATGGTGCCTTTGAACCAACTCCTCTACGGACCTTACCGGAAAAAAGAGGCAGAGAAATCAGATGGCAGCAAACAGCACTCAAAGGGAATCTCAGAAAAGAAAACTCTAGAACATAAAAGGTGTGCACTCTGTGTGCGTGTGTGTGTGAAAGAGAGAGAGAATATAATTAGGTGAAGGTGATTTGAATTATAGCCCCTACCCCGGCTCCCGTCCCTCTATTTCCTGCCTTGATTACATGTAATCAGTAATGGGGTTTATTCTGAAGTGGAATTCCAGATAGCTAATCTGTTCTAAGTTCACATGGCAGGGAGTAGAATGACCAGGTCCAAAACAGGGCTGAATTCACCAAATAAACTTGGGGCCCAAGGGTGCTGGTGTCAGACTGGCCTTCTGTGACCTGGGACAGGGACGGCCACCTCTCCAGGCCGCCCCAGTCCATCGAGAGCAAGCAGAAATCACAGTTATTCCTCAGCTATGAACCCTTCTTGGAGAAGGAAATGGCAGCCCACTCCAGTACTCTTGCCTAGAAAATCCCATGGATGGAGAAGCCTGGTGCAGGCTACTGTCCATGGGGTTGCAAAGAGTTGGACACAACTGAGCAACTTCACTTGCCTTTTTTTCTTTATGAACCCTTCTATCTTATTAGTGCCTTTCAGATATTGGAAGGAGAAAAAAATGAGGCTTGCTGTTTCTTCCCTCACAGCAGCGTGATCACCTAGACATCTGATGATGGAGACTTCTCATTTAAAAAAAAGTCCTCAGATATGTAGCACACAGCTATTCATTCTGCCATGGAAATTATTTTTAAATTATTTTGTTTAATAAAATAAGTAATTATTTTATTCCTTGTCCCAGCTTTTCTTCCATCTTCTTAATTAAGGAAAGGAAAATTTAATGAAATGGATTTGACCAGTGATTTTTATCCCAAGAGGGATACAAAATCAGTCAAGTCTTCAGCCTGCTAAATTTTCACATGCAGTGTTCATCATTCTTTTCCTTTATATCAAAATCAAAGCTCACATCTTTATTATTTAATTGCCATATTTCTGCCTATCACTTAAGAGGTTTATAATCTGTTGAATGAAGAATATGAATATCTCAACTATATTTTACACAATTAAAGTGGTTCTTTGGGCAGAGTCATTGAGATCAGTGGAGTAGTTCATGTTTTCCATTGTATTTCAGTTTTTTATTTAGGAAGCACCAGATACAAAGCACACGAAAGATCTCTGGACATAAACAGGGATCAGAGCATAGAAGACCTGGCACAGTTTTTATAGGACACATTCTAGCTTCAGGAGGCCCTTGGTTTTTGCAGTTCTTTCTGGCATGCCTTGTAACACACCAGTCTCAGAGGGCCTTGTGGGAGGGATCAGTTGCTGCCGGTGAAACAAAAACTTCTGGATAACCGGGTAGCATCAAGACATGTTGATGGGGATCAGCAATTTGAGTTAGGAAAGGGAGTAGCTTTTGTACCTCCTTTTTTCCTTTCCTCTGCATGCAATTTTAATTCCTGATATTTCCAGCCCCATTTGTCTGTCGTCACCTGAGTCTGTTTACGGGGACACAGCCCATGATCTCTCTAAAGAGCTTCAAAGAACTGTTGGAAAAAAAAAGAGAGCCCCCTGGCGGCTTTTTGCTCTGCCCTTCCTTCCCCTTCCCCAAACTGAAAGTGAATAGAAAATTCTGTAGTCTTTCTATGTCCATAGACTGTGTAAATACACCAACTCATGTAGGTGATTTAGCTTGGAAAAAATGAATAGCCCTATTTATGTCAATTTCTAAAAACTTCTATCTTAGGAAACATATTTTAGTTAGAAACTGACTTTTAATGTGATGGAATGTTTATGCACATAGATGCCACAGTTTTTAGTTTAAATGATAATATTGTCAACATTAGCCATTTAATATTCACTTCTTGGGGGAACAATTGAAAATATCAGGCCACTTCCCTCATGGTCCAGTGGTTAAGAATCTACCTTCCAATACAGGGGACGCAGGTTCGATCCCTGATCGGGGAATTAAGATCCCACATACCTTGCCCTGCGGCCAAAAAAGTTAAAAAAAAATAAAATAAAATTTGCCAGAGAGCTTAAAGAAATAGCTGATTAAAACATCTCTGTATATAAAAAAGAGAAAGTATCAGATTTATCATTAATAAAGGTGAACAGCTGACATAAGGGTATTGCCCCTGTGGATACCCTCTCTGCTCGTCAAGTGTACATTAACCGGGCCTTATGGATGCTTTTAGAAGTCAGAGACTGAGTTTGAACATTGAACCTTTCTGTTCAGCGTTGACCTAATCATACTTTCTGGCATACCTACAAAGGTTTATGGTGGAGATGTCTAATATGTGAGCAATGTCCCAGCTATCTCCGCGCTAATCCTAGAATTTGGATCATGCAGAGCTTGTTACTAACATTTTACTGCTGCAGTAAAAGACATTCCAAGGGGGCTCAGGGATTCAATCAGAAAACTTGAATTCGTTATAGTAACTTGAATAGTGTGGGAATTGGGCATCATTACTGTCAAACTGAAATCTCATTCCCATCTCTAATATCCTTACGGCGAACTCTGGCTTCTCTTCTTAAACTAAACTAGACTGTTATCTGGTGGAAACGTCTGTCTCGTTACAGTGTCAGAAGGGTAGCATAGTAATCCAGGCTACAATTGATTCCATATTTTTGAGAGAGGAAAGGTGCTTCCATCATTCCGTTCTGTGTTCAGCCTCTGAATTTCTGTGCTTGACATTCTGTTTATCTGCTCCTCTTCCTGGAACCTGATTTTTCCGATGATGTGGGGGCCTGGACCAAATTAACAGAAACCAGGGCCAGACAGAAGAGGTGAAGTCAAGGGTGAGCTGTATTGTGCGGGCCCAGGAGAGTGAACCTGCGGAAGAGGGACTCAGGAAGGTGCCGGATCTTTACAAGGATGACCTGGCCCAGCGGAGAATTCAGGGCAGGCCTGGCCCTCACCGTGAGGCCCCACGCTTTATCACGGCTGCCAGGATAACAGAAGCCGACCTGGAGACGTGGGAGAGGCTGAAAGTGTCAGAACAGACGAGGTGTGTCATGGTTTCCCCTAACAGTGGCATCATTTAACTTTGAGCAAATCAAACACGTATCCTTCTATCACTCTTTACTTTCATGGCCATAAAAAAGAAATACCTCTCAAAAGACAACATATTTTGCATGAGTTAAAACTTGTTAATACTAAAAATTACAAGCCACATGGACAAGAAACATCCTTTTCAATTCAGACTTATTGTGAATGCTTATTTCAATAGGCTTGTTTATTTGTAAGGAATGTAAACTTGACTTTTAAATCATTTTAATGACTTTATTGTACCTAAGATTTTCTTATGCTGTCATTTATGACCTTGGAAGTGGTATTTTAAAAGCTATAGAAGCACTCTTTACCCAGGCAAGGCAATGATCATTTCTTCATTTGATTGATTACTGCAAAAGCAAGTCTGCTTTAGCCATCCAAGTTTTTTCATACATCTACTATATTTTAAAAACTCTTCCTTGATCTGTACTCACCTTAGAAACCTTTGGAACTTATCTCCGGTTCTGACTAGGGATGGAGATGTGGAGCACGCGTGTGCCCCTGAGCCTTCATCAGAAATTAAAGCGGAAACTGCCATCCGGGACGACTTTGCCAGCCGCAAGGCAAGGGCCTATAAGAAAGCTTCCAGCAGCCCTAGGCAAAAGTTCGTGCACTTTGGACCAGTGACAGAGATAGATCAGCAGACGTGGAAGCGGCTCAGCATTGGCAGGGCGGGGCCCAGGGAGAACGCAGAGGAAGGCATCAGTCACACCCGCACGATTCACACATGCTCCGTGTCTGATGCCTCAGCGGCCACGTCCAACTCAAAGGAGGACCGCATGCTTAATCCACAGAATGGCTGCAGGTATTTTCACCATTACATGTGCAAGAAGGTCTGCATGGGAATCACTGCCGCTTTTAAAGAGTTCACTGCCACACATTAAAGAAACCGCCAGAGATGACAAAGTTTTAACAGGCTCTTTTGCTGGTTAGCAGAGAAGGGAGGTCAGTACCCCAGGGGACAAACGTGTGTGAAGTTAAAAGACATCCATTTTGATTCTGTTGTCACCAGAATCACTGCCTGGGAATGCCAATAATTTTGGCAAATGACCCTTTTTCCCTTGGCCGTATTAAGCGCTATTTTATTCTTCAGCAACACTGAACAGACAAGATGGGATGTTTTAATGATATCCTTTGTGTTTTTCCTAAAAATATGTTGATAAAAGTCTAGATTATCTATACACTCCCTCTTTCTTATCCCATAAGGGAGAAAAAAATAGTTATTAGTATCGTAAGTTCAGATTTCGGATATCTAAGCAGCCACACAATAAAGTAAACCTCTCCCCCCTCTACTTTTTAAAAACATATACCAGAACTCGAGTGGAAAGACTCTTTGGGGGGTTCCTATGAGTCAGGATTCCTTGGATGAATAACTGTTCAACTTTGTGAGGGATCAATTGGGAAAAGACCTTGTAGACCTGTCCCCAGTCCTCATTCTTACTGGAGGGCTTCCAGCTGTGAATTCCCAAGCCCTGTTTGGGGGACTTGTAAGGTACAGTTCCGGCGAGGCAGAAAAGGAAAGATGACCTCAACAGAAGTAGGTCATCTTTATTCAGGCAAGGGTGGGCGACAGTCGGCCTAACGACCAGGCTGAGCGCTGAGAGGGATCAGGGAGGCTTCATACTTATAGGGAGGTTTGTGGAAGCGATAAGGGAAACGTCAATCAGGTGGGATATTTTGAATATTCTTTTGTTGAGATGACATTTGTATTTGGCAGAGGGTGATAAGTCTTCTGGGCAGGTGTAGGGGGTGGTAGGTTTCTGGACAGGGGGAGATAAGTCCCAGATAGATGCAACCGGCCTGGAGCATCAGGATGGAACTAAAGTTATGCTTTGTGTTCTCCGAGGTTGATGATTCAGCAAGGGGCCTTTGAGGCTGTTGCTGTCTTTTCCAGGCCCAAAAGACTCCTTCAGGATTTGGTTCTATCTATGGACCGGTCTTTCTTCCATTAAGCAGGTATAGGCTTAGACGGTAAAGAATCCGCCCTCAATGCAGGAGACCTGGATTCGATCCCTGTGTTGGGAAGATCCCCCGGAGGAGGGCATGGCAACCCACTCCAGTATTCTTGCCTGGAGGATCCCCATGGACAGAGGAGCCTGACAGGCTACAGTCCATGAGGTCACAAAGAGTCAGACACGACTGAATGACTCAGCACAGCACAGGGCATTTATAAGAGTCTAGATTCTCTGTATGCTGTGTGAGCTAGGGGTAACTTAGAGATCAGAGTCCAGTCTGCACCCCACTGTCTCTGCATGGTCCAGCAAACATTTACTTACTAAACATCTGCTTTGCCATCTCCAAGTGAATTGCCTTCCTCCCATTTGAAGTCCCAAACCCCTATTCCCACATCCTCTTTTGTCTTTGGCTAAAGAGAGTATTTAAGGTGAGGGTTTCAGTAATTTTAGTAAGCATCTCAGTTTTCCTGGGTCTCTTCCATGTAGATGTGTTATTAAAATTTGAGTTTCTCTTAGAAAAAAAAAAAAGATTCTGGATTCTCCCAGGAACCTCCACTCCACTTGCGGGGCAGGAGCAAAGCAAAGCTCTTCATGGCAGGAGGGAATGCTCGGGACAGCCTCCTCCATCCTTTGTCCTTGATATTCAAAGCACATGGTGGATCATCTGTGACATACAGAGGCGTTTCTTTGGTTTGATTTCTTTGTGGATGATCCCATAGAGGAGGCTGCAAATATAAATAACCTGGGTACACCAGAAGTCACTGCTGGAGTTTCAGAGGCTAGTGGGGATCAGGCATGGAGGGGGTGGGAGTAAGAAATTAGTAAGAAATGCACCCTTGAGTCCCTGACTACTAAGCGGTCACCACTCAGCTCCATGGGGAGAGTCAGGCCAGCCTTCTTTGACTTTCTCAGGGCCTTGCTAGGGTTCATATTCTATTATCCCGTTCTGAGGATGTCATCCTAACTAACCAGCTTCTGGAATAGCAACCAAACTTTCTCTTAACCTTTCCATCTCAAAGACTTCCACCGTCTCCTTTCCTAACTCTTTTTCCTCTTCTCTCTTGCTACCAATGCTACTTGTCACCAACAGAACAGTGACTTCTGACGTAGATGACTGTTGTAAAAGGGTCTCTCCGCTGGCTCCCGTGCCGGGGTCCCAGGAGGAGCCTCGCGTCAGTGCGGGCGAGGGCCTCAGGACAGAGGAAGGTGAGGAGGTGGAAGGCGACTGGCGGGGCCACGGCCTCTGGTGTGAATTCCCCCCCAGTGGTAAAGCTGTCCTGTCTGGCTTTAGTTACACGCAAACAGCAGCCACAGGATGGCAAAGAAGAGACTGAAGGAGCTGCTCACAGAGACTCTGAGATGGCGCCAACGGCCGAAAGACCCCAGGAGAGCGGCCAGCCGCTGTGAGCACCCTGCCTGCGTTCCAGGGTGTGCTGCATCTGCTGTGTGCGACTGCTGGCTCCCCCAAACTGCTTAAGCCAGAGTGTGACCCTGATGAGTGATGCAGCATGGAGCGGAGTCCCCGAAAGGAATGTGCCCATCCCGGGGTCAGAGCTCTGCTTTCGGCGCCCCCGGCTGGGTAGCAATTTTAGCCTTTGCACGTGGTTGGGTGCTGGCCGGATTTCATTCTCAGGAATCACGAGAACCGAAAAGGGAAACCCATTCCCATGTAAGTATCAGTTGCATGAAGAAAGTCCCTGGTATTAATACTCAGTTTGCTATGCGAGCTGCTGCCTCCGTGAACATTGGCTTCTCCTGTCTTGAGTTAATGCCAAGTGAGTGATGCTACTGAAAACATCTTAAGCAGTAAGTGCAATTTGACTGGCTGGACTGACGTGCCCTACTGACATCCTCTGACCTCTGAATGGGAGGCTTCAGAGAGAGAAGAGAAATCAGAGAAGATGACAGCTCCTGTCTGGAGCCGCAGTGGACTGAAAGGCCAAAGAAAATGGTACGATTCACAGAAAGATGACATGATGACCTGGAGAACTGGCATGTCTCTTAGTCACATTGGATCCAGCAAACCAGTTCCTTCCAGTTCCATTTGCAAAGCAACGTATTTGGGAGGAATCTGCCAGGGGTCCACCAATAAAAGATAAGAGGTCAAAAGATTGTCCCAAGCTGTTTTGACTTTGTTTCTCTAGTCTGAGCCTTGATCCATGCTTTGAATATGTTATTAATGCTTTATGGTTTATCAATGCCACTTACCTGCTCTTGCTAGCAGAAACGAAATGATTAAATGATTGGCCCAGTCTACCAAGGTTTTTTTTTTTTTCCTCTCTTGCATGTAAGCAGGTGTGGAAAGAAAAGTTGTGACTTGTCCTATTAGACATTCTTTCTGACTGCCATCTTGTGGGCAGCCTAAATGGGGAAAGTCTCATTTCTTCCTAGCACACACAGAGGTTATCGGGTAAAGGAGCAGAACTTCTTTCTGACCTACTTGATTCCATTCTGGTTCCAGGAGGGTCTTCCAGTCCAAAGAAGATATCTATTACTTATAAATTTAATTTAATTTAATTTTGACATTATCAAATAGTGATTTCTAGAGGTGGACTTTTCATTCCATTCTCTGACTTGATTTAAAATGAAGGTATGGATTATATATGGAAGAGGGCATGGCAGCCCACTCCAGTATTCTTGCCTGGAGAATCCCATGGACAGAGGAGTGGGGTGGGCTACAGTCCATGGGGTCGCAAAGAGTCGGACATGGCTAAAGTGACTTAGCACACATGCTGGGGATATATAAAAAAGATAATCAACAAGAACCTACAGTGTAGTACAGGGAACTCCACTCAATATTCTGTAATAATATGGGAAAAGTGAAAAAATGGATAATATGTATGTGCATAACTGAATCTCTGCAAGACACCTGAAACTAACATTATATATTATAAATCAGCTCTACTCTTAATATAAAATACAAATAAAAAAATAAAACGAAAATAGGTAAATAGTAATCCTGAGATTCATGGTCTACTTTAAGATCCTGTATGTTGAAGCGTCTGCTGTTATTTCGAAGGAGTGACAGACTTGTGAAAAGTGTGGTCTGCCAGATCATGTAGAGCAGAGGAGCAAGAAGTGTGTAGCGTAAGTGAAGCTCCACCGTCAAACAGGAAGTGATAGAATTCTGCTTCACTTTGGCAGGAGTGAGACAGAAGGTAGGGTGGAGAGCAGAGAGAATCTTAGTAATCTCCAAATTTCAAATAAATAGCCAAGCTATCGTCACCACCTGGATTTAACATGCCTCTTACAGCCTTCTGAATCGTAATGCTTCTCGCAGAGCCTTCCCGTGGCTCTAGCTGCGGGCAGCAGGGGTGGGAGCTGTGCCTGCCCTTTCCACGTGCTTCTGCTCGCTCAGCCCACCTTCTCCTGGGAATTCACAGGTAGGTGGGATGCCCGTTGGCTCCGGTTCACAACTGGGATGCCTGCAGTAGAGAAGTTACACCTGGGTCCCCGCTGCAGGGCCGGTGGATGATGAGGGACGGCCTGGCCCAGCGCACTCGCTCAGGCCCCAGATGCCCTGGTGTGGTGACGGGCGCCGCCTCGGCAGGCTGGTGGGAAGCAGTTAGCAAGAGAGGAGGGGAGGAGGTGAGGCCTGGAGGCTGCCTGCTGGACACATCCTAGGCAGCCCCTTTCCACCCCGCACTACCTTGGAGAGGGAGACGCTTCCTCTGTGTTCTGCGGGAAGGAACCAGGTTGTGTGGCAGAAGCCAGAACAGCATGGTAAAGCGGTTATCCTCCAAGTTAAAGAGAAAAAGAAAAGAAAGAAACCAAGGCCCAGGCCCACACAGCCGGCAGTCACAGATCCGAGATCAAACCCTGCTCTGTCCGAAGAGGGAGCCGCCCTCCCAGGCCCAGGCCAGTGCATCGCCTACCAAGTCACCGGAGGGGACGGGGGATCTGACGGCTTCCCTTCCGCTTGTCCTCTGTCCCTCTGGACGGGATGGCTGGTTAGAGCATGAGGAGATAGAGTCAGAGAAGCTCCGTGCCAAAACCGTGTGAGGGGCAGGCACACACCTTGGGAACTCATGGCTCCTTCCAACAAGTGTTTACTGAGGAACTGCTGTGTGTGAAACACTGTGCTGGGTGGTGGGGGTAGTCTGAAATGACCGGTAAACTCACGTTTCCTTCTCACTTTAAACGAAGTTTGTGCTAGTTCACAGCATCGCTGAGCATTGATCCTGAAGTGCTTTATTTGTGCTGAAAACTACACAATGCAATCAATAGATAAAGAGGGTATTCTTTTTATCTTTCTAAATACCCCTACCCTCACAATGAAACTTCATTAATTGCTTGTTTTTGGTAGGATGCTTATACCAACTGTGATTTGTCTGGCCAGTGTTGTAGGTAATAGTCTGTTGACTTACCTGCTTTGCATTTTTTAAAAATCTCTTTATTAGTGATTTTTTAAAACTCATCTTTTCTTTTCTATCTTTCATAGAACAACTGAGAAAATCATCTGAAGCCCAAGCTCTTAATTATCTTCTCCATAACAGCAAAGGCAATTCTGATGAAATTGGTCCCTTCTTAAAGCTAATAAATTAGTCTGAAAGGAAATGTCTTAAAGCCACAAGTATATAGTAAACAGATAAATGAAGGGTATCTTCAGAGACTGCACTGTTCTTTTCAATTTCCTGAGTATCCAATGAGGATTTAGTAAATACTTATGGAGGGCCTGGTCTGGTCACTCTTCAGGCAACCCCCAAAGAAAAATCCCTACTCTCATGGACCTTGCAATGCAATGTTAATCAACATTTGTTGGCAGAGGTCTCCATGAAATGCTGCTGAGTATTTTGTGTAGAAGCAATTTAAATTCTAATGTATCCTGCATGCAACAACATAGCTGAACCTCATAAATGAAATGTGCTAATAAGGAAGCCAGACTCAGAAGAGTACATACTATATGATTCTCTTCACACAGCACAAAGCTCAATGCTGATTTGTGGTTTGTGAAGATTCATCAAGGTGTGTGTGTGTGGTCTGTATACTTTCTGTATGTATAGTTTACTTCAGTAAAACATTACTTAAAATATTCAAATCAACACAAAAACACCAACTATCGATTGATCATTTCTAGATTAACCATCCATTAGGAATAACTTCTCTGCTTACTTCCATAGATAATTTAGAAAACAGTATATTCAAATGCCTATTCCAGTAGGCCTACTAGTGAACTGGGAAACATTTATCCAGGCTTCAGAATTAACACTGTTAATTCTGGGTGGAATTTACACTGTTCGTGTACTCTTTCTTGATGTGAAGGAATTCATCTGTCTCCATGTGGAGATGGTTTTGGAAAACTGAATATATTAAGTCAAACTTTAGCACCTTCTAAAACTATCCCCCGGAGAAACAGAAAATGGGTCTTACTTCCAGAAGAAAAACATCCACAAACGCTTTCCTCTTCTTGCTTTTGGCCATTTCAACTGAAACTCTTGTTAGTCTTTCACTGGTGTGGTTGCCCTCACTGTGCGTGAAAATAGTTATTAATGAAGTCATACTGTTACAGGGTAATAAAGGCATCAGAGAGAAGGGTGTCTGTGTGTGTACACCAATGTGTTTGGGGTTTTTTCTCTAAGATCATAGGAAGAGATCTTTAGAAATTATTCCCTTCCCCCTACATTGTTATGAAACTGAACATAGGATCAGGTAGTTTTTGCTGAAAACCCCCAAATTTAATTTTTTGGACTGAAAGCCTGGCATTTTTTTTCTTTGCTCAAATAAGTCTTTGTCCACCATCGGAATGCATGAATAAATTGCCTTTCAAGGCATAGGTAAGAACTTCCTCTTAAAATTCCCCTTTCCAGAAATAGTCACTTGTGGGAGCTCCTTTTTTTAAATGCACTTAAATATGCCCTTGTAATATTTTAGTATTTTTTCTAATTTGACCTTTTTCTTTGTTTTATCAGATACATTAAAACTTAAAATGCCCATATTAAAGAAGGTGCAACTTTGTAGCTCTAAATAATCAGAAGAATATAAAAGATGGTTAAAAAAAAAACTTTGCTTTTTCAAGTTATGGAATATCATCCACCTCTGGTTTTGATTAAGGCTGCCAGTTTTCTAGGAATTGTGGTTTTTGTCAAATGTATGCGGAAGGCACTGATTGGGGTTCTGGTTGGAGTTCTGGTTTGCTTTCAGAAAACTTCAGAAACACTCTTTGATGTTATTTGTGCAAATGCATTAACACATCAGGGAAAGGGTCAGTAAGCGTGTGCTTCTATGCTGGGTGTCCATTACAGCCCATTACTCTACACAGAAAGGCAAAAACCAGTTCAACCATTTGCGAGTGACCGTAATACACATTTGGTTTTTTCAAAGCTGTCTTCTCTAAACATTGTGGGTTGCACCTAAGCCTTTTTGTGTTTATATTGAATGATTTCTTTCTTTGTGGGTAACATGGAGAGGTATTTTTATTTCCCCTTTGGGTTTTCCTACAAATTTCGCATTCTTCAGAAATGTCAACTTTGCTTTCATTTTTAGCCGTTAGTGAATATTGCTAATTGTATAATGACACTTCTCTTCCAGTATGATCAGCAAAAAAGGTTTGGCACGTATACCTTTCACTTGTAGTTTTTATTTCCAGCTTGGTTACAGTGTTAACCTTCTGTCTTGCCAATCCTCTAATTTTGGATTTGGTCTTATAGATACGGACCGAGAACTCCTGTGTCTGACGACGCAGAGTAAGTTGTTTTGTATTCATAGGAATACATTAATTATAGCCTAAACTGCATGCTTCCAGTGCTCACCACTAACTGAAACGCAGTTGATGTAACAGTGGACTGAAGAGCTAACTGACTCTTCTCTGCAGCCTCAGAGAAGCCCTTGAAATTGGAATGCAAAACATATGTTCGGTGCAGGAGAGATGAATGAAAAAGCCACTTAAGCATGATTCTAATACGCAGCTGCTGCTTAAAACTTAACATTTGCTTTTCATAGATGGGGCATGTGAAAGTTGTTCTTGTTAGGGTTTGGAAGTTGGAACCTCTTCTGAACCATGGAATTGTTAAAAGGCTCTTCTGTGCTTTGCATTGAATCCTTGATATGTGAAGGCTTAGCCGTGCAGCAGTCATTCTCAAAGGCACATTTTTTTTTAAGCTAAGAAAATAAATTCTAAACCACTAATGATAGATTCAGAAGCCCAAGTTCCTCCCAGGTTGGAGTTATATAAACGGTGGGATGCTGAGCCCAAAACACTGGGGTTTCGTTCATGTTCTGTGGCCCAGCCAGGGGTCAAGATGTACAACATGACTTGGGTTGCCTCTCCTTGGTTTCCACTCCACCCAGAGATGCATTGCCCATCCCCAACCTCACATCCAAATTTGAGAAGAATCTACTCTCTCCCATCTGTGACCACATGGACTCCATTTCAAAAACAGATTCCCCATAGGCAGAGCATTCTGAAACTGATAGACAAGACAGTTTTCTTTGCAGAAGGCTAGCTTGCTCAGATTTAAGAAACATGGCCAGTATCTCACTGCAACACTAGTGGCCCACTAAGCCTGATGTCTGTCCTCTGGGAAAGGTGTTTTGTGGCCTTGTGGGAGTCCAAGCCATTCTAAGAATGAACCCCAACATTTCCCCTGCCTGTCTTCCTGGCCTGAGCCATAGTTTCGAGTCAGCGAGTGAGGAATCTGAGTAACAGTGTAGAACAAATATCATTTCCACCAGTAACGGCAATCAGGCCACACGTCGACTGTATTTGAATTGTGCTTTTTTTCCATGTTTGTGTTCAAGATGTCAGCTTAGTCTGCACTTTTAGCTCTAAGCTGTCTGACTTGAGTGCCAAGGAGATCAGTTTCCGATGTGTGATGTATGATTGCTTTGTGGCCTGACACACGGAGCATTCATGTCTCAGAACTAAATTCAGCCGGAGCTTGACTGACTGCATGGAGTTAAGTAGTCTATAAAACTGAGCCCTGGTTATTGCTTTTAAAATCTACAGTGGCAGTATTTAACATTCACTGAAAGGAGGATTATATAAGATTGATAGGCAAAACACTACTTTGATTTGGTTAGCAAAAACATTTTGATAGAATGGATTTACTCTTCATCATTGCAAAGCTGCTGTGCAATTTGCCTAATACAGATCTCTCAAAAACCCTGAAAGCTGAAAGAAAAGGAGCTACATTAAAGAGCTTTTGAATGCTGCCTGTACCTAAATATGAAACCTCACCCACAGGAAAAGTAAATGATTTTTTAAACCAAGTGGGGGTGCCGGCTCTTCTAAATTTACCAAAAAAAAAAAAAAAAAAAAAGCAGCTTGTGATCCAGGAAGAGGATAAGGAGCTTCTTTTCCAGGGGTCTTATCTAGGAACATCTAAAGGGCTGAATTTCTTTCTTGGAATAGACATAATTTATATGAAATCAAGTGGGTAATAAAAAAAAATTTATGTCAGGAGTTTTTTTTTTAATAGAAATTTATAATATGTTTCATTGCCCCCCTCCCCCCACTATCTCCCGTTTTCAGAATCTTTACAGACAACTGTTGGCATGGGCTCTATTTATTCATAATTAACACATTCTTAAAATGCAGCCCAATCAAAAAAAGATGTGCCCTTTAAGGAGAATGCGGGTCAGGGGCAGACCTACCACACAGGCAAACAGAAATTTCCGCCTCCTGGCAAGCCAAGAATGTTTCCATGGATTTAGTTTCACCTTCTTGCCCTTCTCTTCACTTCCACATACCTCCTCTCCCAAAGGTCCCCACCGTGGAGCCTGGAAACTGAGAGCCAGAGGCCATTTTGCTCCTAATTCCCTTACCTTAGGCTTGGTCCAGAAACCATTTCCCGGCTCCCTTGGAGGTCCTTTAATCCTGGCCCTGAGAAATGCCAACCCACTGCAGGGAGAGGCTCCTGGGCTCTGAGGCCAGGGGCCCTGCTCCCCACAGCCCAAGAGCACGGCCTGTTGTGCTGAGAAGCTCAGGTTTGGTGCAAGTCCTGTTAATGTGGAGCCGAGACCTCTCCAGGGTCCCCGATGCGCTATGCTCTACTAAGTCACTTCAGTTGTGTCTGACTCTCTGCGACCCCATGGACTGCAGCCCGCCAGGCTCCTCTGTCCATGGGATTCTCCAGGCAAGAATACTGGAGTGGGTTGCCATGCCCTCCTCCAGGGAATCTTCCCGACTTAGGGATTGAACCCACATCTCTTATGTCTCCTGCATTGGCGGGCAGGCTCTTCACCACTAGCGCCACCAGGGTCCCCCACCCCATCCCTCAGCATGCACTTCTTCATTTTGGAGGCTGAGTCCAATCTCTGAATGAGGGAACATTTTCTGAATGGTGACTCAGCTCATTTTCTATTATCAGTCCTTAGCTTGCTTCCTTTTTTGAAATGGCTTAAAGGTATTGCTCATAGTTTTATTATTTCTCTTTTGCTGGTGTTGCTTTTAAAAGAAAAAAAAAAATTCTCTAACCAAAAAAAAAAAAAGTACTTCCTGGTATGAGAAGGCAGACAAGTGTTTCTCTTTTTATTTCATTAACCAGCTTTTGGCCACATTTGGGGATAGGACCTTAGGACAGAAGAGGGCCATTCCAAAGGCCTTGCTTCCCCCCCGCCTCCACACCAATCAAGTGTGATAAGCAGTTCTCAAATTTTGGAGAAGCCTGCCATTTTCTTACTGGGGTCCCAGAAGAAGACTTTGCCCTATGGCCATCAGTGTGACCTAAATCAAAATTCTGCCCTTTAAAAATTACAGATGGCAAAGTTGAAGGAAAGGACCTCCTTTCTCTCCCATAATCTGCCAGCTATTTAGTAGATTACAATAGAGTCCCAGCTGAGAGGGGTTTATGTCCTCTAAGACCTTCACAAAGCCTATAAATTGCCTTGAAAGAGAAACAGGCTGAATTTGATACATGTACAGTTAAGTTTTGGGGTTTTCTTTTTTAACTCTGAAAAGGAAGATGGGATGAATTCGGGTCCCTTTCTGGAATGGTTGTTTGAGGGCATTATGATCCATGAAGTTTAAAAACCATCGATTAGACTTTTCTACTTAACTCTGCAAATTCCTAAATTTCCCGTTCACCACATGAATAAGCAGCATAAAGTAGGTGACAAATCGCAGTCGACAGTTTACGTCCCAGGAAGGCAGTTTCCACAAGCGGCACTGTGGCCTGAGTGTGTGGACAGCTCCAGGCAGCAGTCTGCCACATCCATGCAGATAGAAGCCCTGGATCAAAGAAGTCCTACGCAGCCGGATTATTAGAACCAGAGCAGAGTACCGTCTGCAGTTTTCACTCTCTGTGGTCAGACTCAAACTGTCCAACATCTAAAGGGGAGAGGCGCTCATGCATTCATAGTGGAGTCGACCGAAATGCACGTGGGCAGCCGTTGCTTTGGGGTCGTCCTCTCCTTCCAGAGAGCCGCCTGCTGAGGAACCCCTGGCATCCAGCGATGCTGCTGCTGGGCTTTGTCTGGCCGTGGGGGAGCTACTTTGGACATCACTGATGATGTCTGGGATTAGTTAGTGTCTTGGTGCATGGCTCTTCTTTTTCTTTGTGTTAAGCTGGCTTCAAAAATGGACTGTCGCAGTCTTCTGTTCTTAAAGGGCCCTCCGCTTGTTGGGCGCTTTATAACCCTCTTGATCCCAGAGCTAGTCTTTGAGAGGAAAGAAAAAAAAAGGGAAGATTTTGCTTTGGTTTTTATTTCTGTTCTCATCTTGCTGCTTCAGCTTTCACTGTAACAAAGGTCTATAATAAGCATTGCAGAAAAGGCCCTATGGTCTTACCCAACATTTAATAAGCTCCTGCAGAATGTATCAATTATATGAACAGCCTAAAGGCTCTTAAAATTTGCTTTCCAAATCCTTTTGCTTTTAAAAGAGTAGGATATAAAGTATACACTGATTTTTATATTTGTCCCTTAACCTTACCATAAAATACCTTCTTTTCTTGATTTCAAGATGCCATCAACATACTACAGATTTACAGTTTTACAGGACATAGAAATAAACCACAACAAACATGTATCATTTGTGCATAGTTGCTGGATGCATCCAAAATTCAGAAAATACAACATGAAAAAGTGGTACGTTAGATTGAGGCTGAATATACTTTTTTAATGGAGAAATTGCCTGTTAATGAAGAAAGTATTTAAGCCAGTCCTACACAAAGAAGCATTTACTGCAATTAAATTTTCACTTCAGGGGACGCCATCCTCCTTCCCCACAAATTCTCTCCAAGCTATACATGTTAATGCTCTTCATTTTATTTTCTAATACATTTACAAGCGAGATCAGCTCAGAGCTTCAAATACCTTTTCAAGCCTCTTAGTTTAAACATATTATCTTGGCTCCCAACATGTAACATTAATTGACTGATTCAGCCATCACTGAAGACAAAGATGGTCACATTTTGGCTTCTGCTCCAAAAGAAGAGCTGAGGCTCCTAGCATGCCCGCTGCTGCCGGCCGAGGGAGGAACCGATCGCGGACCGCGTGGCTGCCTTAGGCTGCGGAGGGGAAGGGGCGGGTTTCCGCGCGCGGTGGCGCCCCCGCGCGGCGGGCGCCGCAGCGCGCAGAGCCGGGAGGGCGCTCACCTCGGTCCGTGCCTTTGCTCTCTCCACGCGCAGGAGCACGAGTATGTTCGACATGCGGTGCGAGGAGGACGCCGCGGTGCAGCCGCACGGCAGGGCCCGCCAGGAGCAGCTGCAGCTGATCAACAGCCAGCTGCGGGAAGAGGATGACAAATGGCAGGATGTGAGTGCTGGGGCCAGGGCCCTGGGCAGTGGGGAGACTGTGCTGCCCGCTGGGCCAGAGGCCCTTTGGAGCAGAGAATCAGAATCAGATCGGGTGGGAGCCTCGGGCTGGAAAGCCGTGCAGAAGAAGGGGCGGGGGTGGCGGAGAAGACTTCAAACAGTGAGCACCGCCCATGTGGGAATTAAGGAGAGGACACTTGCTGAAGCTTGGCCAGAAAGTAGAGGAGGCAACTAGCATGGGATGCCAAATCAAGGATGCACTAAAACGTTTTCTGAGTTTGTATGTTTGGAGTTGATAATAATGCAGATGATGACAGCGATGATAACTGCCCACGTGGAAAGCATGCCGGTAACAGGTACTGTCCTGAGAGCCTTGCGGTGAATCGTTCCTGAATCCGCTCAGTAACTCAGCGTGCTCGCAACTGTAGATGTTACTGTCCTCAGTCCCACAGAGGGGCCCCAGAGCAGTGAAGTAACTTGTCCAGAGTCACACAGCTAGTGAGTAAGAGATCGAGGATGGCTGCAGGGTCTGATGGGGGCCTTGGGATTGTCTGTGCTGAGAGCAGAGAGCTAGGGCGGGAGAGGAGCTCGAAGCTCGGTATGAAACGGGGGAGAGTGGACTGTTTCATCTCATCCTGACAGAGCGCTCTGAGGCAGTCACTGCAGATTTGACTCTACCTTTAGTCAATTAGTGAACTTTCCCAAAGTCGATCAATTGCGGTAACGATTATGTCTATGAGATATCAAGCGCTTACTGTGTGCCGGCACCTGACCTTCGATACCTCATTTCACCCTCACAACAAGCTTGCAAGCGTAGGTACCATTATCGTTTCTGTTTTGGAGATGAGGAAACCAGGGTACAGAGAGGCTAAGAAGCATGCTTGAGATTCCAAAGCATGGAAGAGATGGAGCTGGGATTCTTTCCCACAGCCACATGCCTACCTGTCTGACTCCAGAATCCTAACTCTTTCTCATTAGACTCTAATTGCCCATAGGATTTGTGATGAGGTTGTCATAAAGATCAGGTGACTTAGGACATGATCAGATGACTTAGGACATACAGAACTATTGGTTCTGCAAGACCCCAAAACCAATTGTTTCTCTGCTTTTTCTTCCTTCCCTGAGGGAATTTGTGTAGGTCTGTGGCTAATTCCTACCATTTTATTGTCAGCGAGTCCATTCACAATGCAGAGGTCATAAATAGCAAGAAACGAAGTTTCTTACAATATCCTGTGAGACAATACTTTAACATTTGACAAATGACACGGAATACAATTTTACGTTACCCATGTTTTACAAAATGTGCTGACCTGCTCTGGATAATGTAGAATATCTGAAGGTTTCCTGCCTTCAAGATAGTCCTGTTCCAACCAAACTTACACTGGATCGTAGGGGAATGTCTTAGCCTGGCCCACAGTCAGCACTCACTAAACCCTTAAGTGTAGAAACGGAATTACATGCAGCTCTGAAGAGGAGTGTTCTGTCTCCCTCTCCCTCCCCCATAGGACCTGGCTCGTTGGAAGAGCCGCAGAAGAAGTGCTTCTCAGGACTTAATCAGAAAAGAGGAAGAAAGGAAAAAAATGGAGAAGTTACTGGCTGGAGAGGATGGGACAAGGGAACGAAGGAAAAGCATAAAAACCTACAGAGAAATCGTCCAAGAAAAGTGGGTTCTTTCTGTTGTTGTTTAATGTACAGTATTGTTTAGATGTGCTTTTTCTAAAACCTGTCAGTCATCTCAAAGGCTCTGACACTGTTATTACACACCCTGTGTGGTCTCTTCAGCTCTACTCTGGGACCTACCACGGTCGTGACTGTTGACTCTCTTCTTGCTTCTCTCCCGTGTCTACCCTTTAGAGAGCGCAGAGAGAGGGAGTTGCATGAAGCATATAAGAATGCACGGACCCAGGAGGAGGCAGAGGGTATCCTTCAGCAGTATATCGAGAGATTCACCATCAGTGAAGCTGTTCTTGAACGCTTGGAGATGCCAAAAATCCTGGAAAGAAGCCATTCAACAGAGCCAAACTTATCCTGCTTCCTCAGCGACCCCAACCCTATGAAATACCTGCGGCAACAGTCACTGCCTCCACCCAAGTTCACTGCCACCGTGGAAACCACCATCGCTCGTCCCAGCGTTCTGGATGCCAGCATGTCAGCAGGCAGTGGGTCTCCAAGCAAAACTCTCTCTCCCAAAGCAGTGCCTGTGCTGACGCCCAAGCCTTACTCCCAGCCCAAAACCTCTCAAGAGGTTCTGAAGACCTTCAAGGTAGGATGAGTTCTTTAAGGGTAGAACCAAAACTGAACTCCTGGGGGATCACTGAAAAGAAGCATCTTATCTCAGGAAGATGCAGTTGTTCTTATCAAACAAAAGCAAATGCGTTAACATGTACAGTTATGAAGTTTATGTGTCTCTGAGATTTGGTTTGCAAATAATTCAGGGATTGGTGATTCTTCTCAATTCCTATTTTTCATACTGATGGGCTTGGATGAGATTGGTGGTTGAGTCACCTCCCTGAGGAAAAGGTCTGTTTCATAGTTTGATATGCTGACTGACTGAACATGCATGCATGCATCATGGTATGGTATCTCCATAGCAATGGTAACAGACCCCAATTTAGCAGCATCCTAGGTTTTATCATTTATCTGGAGGTATTGAAAATGCCTCAAAACAAACTTCTAATGACCTTTAGTGTAAATAGAGGTGTATACCACTACCTCTGTATGTACCTCTGACATCATAACTGAAAAGATGCTACCAGTGGGGAGAAAATGGTAATATAAGAAATACATGGGATATACTTGGTATTCAAATGAGACAGATTTTTTTTTTTTAATTTTAGGTGGGAAGAAACTATGTTATTTTGGAGGTGGGAGGGGGGTGCCAATGAATGTGTAAAATAGTGCTCCAGAACCACAGAACCTATGGCAGCCAAACATCTTTTTTCTTCCTCAAATCCTAGTATTTTTCCTCACATCAGGAGGAAGTACTCATCCTTCATCCCAAGCGAGGTTGACTGCAAAGAAAAATCAGTTTTCCTTGTTCCTGCGCACCACATGGGCCCATCATAGAACACAGAGGTGGAAGTCCTCAGTAGCAGACACAGACATGGGACTTTAAAGAAAGTTTGCTAAGCTAAACTGATGGAGCACTGTGTGTGTATCTTCCGATTGAAGTTCAGAGGGAACCAAGCCATATTTCTAACTTTCTTAGCATCTTTCTTAGCTTAACTCTGAGTGTATCTCTGAAATCTGTGTCTTAGGCCTTGATCGAATGAAAGAAAAACATCCTTTCCATCTCATCTAGGTTGGATGGAGATGTTTATCCCTCAAGGGAAACCGCTGTGCGTGTGTTCACAGCTGCATCCTAAGAGCCTGGTGTCTGTGCCCAGGCACTCGGCAAGTGCCTGTTGAGTAAACACATGAATTTTTCCTGAGAAGATGAGACACTCATCGTGCAGACTGGTGCACACACAGATACACATGCAATCGCATGTGGTCGGCAGGCTGCCTAAGTACTGTAGCAACTCTCCTCCTCCTGGGGCCCATGACCATCAACTGTCTGATAGCTTCTCATGAAGGATGGTTTGTTATTTTGGTGGCCGAGAACAGGGACAGGGAATACATGTATTTAACTTGGTGTCCAAGGAATGTGATCAGTGAATCTAGATGTCCATTTCCTTTCCTTTACACAAACAGTACAAAAGTAAGTGAAGGCACTCAGTCATGTCTGACTCTTTGCGACCCCATGGACTGTAGCCCACCAGGCTTCTCTGTGCATGTGATTCTCCAGGCAAGAATCCTGGAGTGGGCTGCCATTTCCTTCTCCAGGGGATCTTCCTGACCCAGGGATTGAACCTGGGTCTCCTGCATTGCAGGCAGACGCTTTAACCTCTGAGCCACCAGGGAAGTGAAACAGTATAATGTGATCATTTAAACAGAAGATGTAGGATAGATGAGTTCATGGCAAGACCCTGAGAAAACCCAGTTCCTTCTGCTGTGGCAAGACAGGGTGGGGGCTTCAGGGGAGGTAGAAGGAGGAACGTGGATAGAGGTCCTTCTAGAGCTGGAGCTCACCAGGGAGCCCTCAGCTCATTGTAGGTGCTGACGGCTGTCGGCCCTGTTCACAGCCCACCATTGAACGGGTGAGCACGCTCGTGGTCAAAGGTGGGGTGTGAGTGGGCAGTTGTTAGGAGATGACACCAGAATCAGAGCTCAGGTGCATGCGCGTGCATGTGTGAGCGTGCACATGTGTGTGCGCACGCATGCGTGCGTGTGTGCGTGCGTGCGTGTACGTGTGTGCACGTGTGTGCGTGCGTGTGTGCGTGTACGTGTGTGCACGTGTGCGCGTGTGTGCACGTGTGTGTGTGCGTGTGTATTTTCTTGTGGAGAGAAGGTGGGCGTGGGAGGCAGGGAATGCAGGCTCAGTTTCTTAGCACAACAGATTTAAGAGCAAAAGAAGAGAAAGTGTCAACAAAAGGGAGTAGCAGAAAAATGGTTTAAGGCCGTGTTTTCAAACTGAGAGTTGCCCCCTATGGCTAGGCTATGAAAGCAATTTAGTGGTTTGAAATCAGCATTCTTTTTTTAAAAAGCTGAGGTAAAATAGAATATAATGTTTAAAAACAATATAGTGCACCACATATAAAAAGGTAAATATTAATTGTTAAACTCCATTTCAGTTATCTTTATGTGTGTGTGTGCTCAGTTGTGATTTAAATTTTGTGGATCACAGACAGTAGACAAAACACCGAATTAAGGTTAATTATCTATACCTAGTATCTGCCCTTCTATTATTCTTTTTAAAAGATTTTAGAAGGTTTAGCAATAAGAATAGCTAATATTTATATACATAAATATGCCAGATACTGTTCTAAATTCTGTGCATATATTAATACATAAATAATACCATATCAGCATCATTCAGTTCAGTTCAGTCGCTCAGTCGTGTCCAACTCTTTGTGACCCCGTGAATCGCAGCACGCCAGGCCTCCCTGTCCATCACAAACTCCCAGAGTTTACCCAAACTCACGTCTGTCGCCCCCTTCTCCTCCTGCCCCCAATCCCTCCCAGCATCAGGGTCTTTTCCAATGAGTCAGCTCTTCGCGTCAGGTGACCAAAGTACTGGAGTTTAAGCTTCAGCATCAGTCCTTCCAATGAACACCCAGGTCTGATCTCCTTCAGCATCACTAAGGAGACTATTATCATAGAAAGGAGGAAACTGAGGTTGAAGATTACATGGCTGTTCAGTGGTGAAGCCGGAACTCAGTTTGTCTCCCTGCAGGGCTTCGTCTCAGGACCACTCTACATACTGTCAGACCTGAAAGAGGTTTCCAGGTACCTAAGTAAGTCAGCCTAACCACCCTCACTCCTTGTTTCTTGCTCCCACCACCGTCCCTAGACATGGGGGCAAAACAAAGATATTTTAATGTGCATGGCCTCTTTTTCTTGAAAAAAAAAAAACTGAGACGGTTAAATTAACTAGAAATAGGAATTTACCGTGGGGCTCCCCAGGTGGCTCTGGATAAGGAATTTGCCTGCAATGCAGAAGACGATGGTTCGATCCCTGGGTTGGAAGATGCCCTGGAGGAGGGTATGGCAACCCACTCCAGGATTCTTGCCTGGGAATCCCCATGGGCAGAGGAGCCTGGTGGGCTACAGTCCACGGGGTCGCACAGAGTCAGACACGACTGAAGTGACTGAGCATGCACGCACGCACGCACACACACAGAAATTCACTGTCACATAGTAACGCCCCGGGCTCCCTGCCCTCCATGATGGCCCCCAAAAGTATTCGTTGCCCTCGACCATAACAGAATAACCTGTGAAATATTCCTGATCTAAGATGAGCTCCACCTAGTTTATATGTTTATTAGGAAAAAAAACTCTCAAAGTTGTGAAATAACAGTCACAGAACTTACATGAAAAATTACTGGAACCCAAATATGCGACCTGTATTTATACCTAAGATCCCTTGATTTTCTGTACTACGAAATAAAAGCAGAACCCCAGTAAGTTGATCATGAAATATAATCTAACATGAAGTGATCTGAGAAGGCAGACCACCTTTTAAAGAAGCCTTCAAATATGGCATTTAAGGGAGCCCTACTTTCTAGACTGACGGAAGCATATAAGAGAACTTATTCTTTGTTAGACTGTGATTGTTAAATGCTAATGATTTAAGATAATTCTGAACGTGTGACTTTGTTATAATCATTCACTGGGGAATAGCATGTTCTTGTTCATCCTGGTTTTTACAGGTAGATGGGAAAGTCACCATGAATGGAGAGACGACTCATGGTGATGAGGAGGAGAAGGAAAGAGAGTGTCCCACGGTGGCACTTGCCCCCTCGTTGACCAAATCCCAGATGTTTGAAGGTGTGGCCAGAGTGCATGGGTCCCCTGTGGAGCTGAAACAAGATAGCAACAGCATTGAGATCAACATAAAGAAGCCAAGTTCTCTTCCCCAAGAGCTGACAGTAAGAAGCAAACTTTTTTCCCCTCTTTTTGAAATAATTTATTTGTTAAAAAATAAGTAGGTCCTGACAGTGATCATTTCTTTCTAGGTGAGTATATTCGTTTGCTAGGGCTGCCATAACGAAGTGTCACAAACTAAGTGGCCTACACAACATATCGTCCTACTAGTTGTATCACAGTCCTGCTGGCTGGAAGTCCAAAGTCTAGGTGTGGTCAAGGCTGGTTCCTTCTGGCGTCTGGGGTGGCCTGCTGGCAGTCTCTGGCATTCTTGGCCCTGTGGGTATACCACCCCCATCTCTGCNATCCCTGGTCGGGTAACTAGGATCCCACATGCTTGCCACACAGTGCGGCCATAAAACAAGAAAAGGAAATGTCTGAAATACCTTCTTTTCTGTTTATTCAACCTCATCAGACTTGCTAAAGTAATAGGAAAATTACTGGTGCCATCAGAATGTGGCTTTCCATCCTTGACAATATGCATAAAAGAGTCTTTTTTACTAACTTTTTAAAAAACTCATTAGAAACCACATTAATTTTTTCTTGGTTTAGCCCCTGAAATCCAAAGTAATTGTAATTACTAACAAACGGTCAAGCTGAGAAATGTAGGGTAATTCAAGAAGAGCAGACGAGAGAACTCAAAATAACATTAGATTTGCCTCTTTGGCGTATAAAACATCAAGAAGATTACGCTTTTCTGCTGAGTTCTCTCTCCAGGGTTCATGCTGGTTTTGCTGATCAAACGGAAACTGTTACTAGGTGGATGCACCCTGGCTTTTGGGTTAGAATCTGGACTCTGTTCAACCTCAATTTGTCCTCACCAGAGGCTGGTTTCTGAGATTTTAATTTATCGTGTTTGGGTTGGAATTATCAAGGTGAGGGGGTTGGTGGGTGGGCAACTGTCAAGATTTCTTCCCCTAGCACCTGGAAAGGTTTGGTTCAGAGGGAAGCTTGTCTTCCAGCTTCAGGGCTAAAGTAAATGACCCAGCTAGTAAACCCACCCGGAGGACTAGATATTATTTTTCTTATCTCCAGGATTTGTCTTTTGAAGAATAAAATATGTTTTCTCAGAGGAGCTGAGAGGATGTAATTCTTCCCTGCAGTGCTCAAACCCTAGAAAGAGATTCAAATTGGAATAGACCAAAATAACTTCCTCACCATGGCAACGTGTTTGCTGGTCTCTAGGAGCACGGCTTTGTGATCTGGGCGGAGGCCGAATCCCTCCACCTGGAATTTATTTCCACTTTTCATTTGCATAAAGGTGACCGCCTCTGAAGAGTTCTCACCGGTTATCATGAGAGGGAATGTTGAGTTTTGCTAGGAGTGTGGAAACTTTGCTGGCTGAGTATAACGTGAACTTATGCTCTTAAATTTAAATGAGAAGCTCCCCCCAGATTAGTTGGACATTGCAGTGGTGGGACTGCTTCTCTGGGGCAGTTAGTGATTCTGCTCTTGTTTCTCTTTCGCTGCACTTTCAATGGTGAGTGTTTCCTAAAAGTGCTTAGTCACTCAGCTGTGTCCGACTCATGACCCAGGGACTGTACCCTGCCAGGCTCCTCTGTCTGCGGGATTTCTCAGGCAAGAATACGGGAGTGGGCTTCTGTTTCCTTCTCTGAGAGATCCTCCTGGACCAGAGAGTAAACCACGTCTCCTGCACTGGCAGGTAGGTTCTTTACCACTGAGCCACTTGGGAAGCCTGTTCGCTAAGTTCCCTTCGTCACTGCCCTTCCACGACGCCTTCTGGCTCCTGTGTCTGTCAGGCCACAGGCCCTTTGCACATGCTCTCGAGCAGCTCTCTGTTCCTGTTCTTTGGAGAAGCAGCAGTGTGGGAGCCACGCTGATCCCGTGGCAGAGGCGCCAGGGCTTAGTCAGGCGCAGTAGGTTAATTATATGAACAAATCCCAGGGCTCCACAGTCAGGCATGTGCACACTTTCTACCTTTATACTTCTGCCCTCTGACCATTTTGTTGTCAGTTTAACAGGTCACCCTGCCCTTGACCGGATAGACTTTTTTTTCCCAACAGAAGGTAAACGAAAAATTGAATAAACCAAATAGTATAAGGCCTAAACTTCCTACACCAACTAATCTCTCTTGTTCAAAGCTTCTAACCCTTTGGGGAAGAAAGCTTTAACCATCCTGTATGGAATCATAAACAGAAGAGAAGGGAGTTTTGTTTGTTGGTTTTGGGGTTTTACTAAACCTCCCTCAAAAAATTACTCATTCTTAGGAATTACTTATTTTCTTATTTTTACAGTGAGCAACATAGAAAGAAAATAGCCTATTCCCTCTTACTGCCAGGCATTTAATAGTAGTTATCCTGCCACTTTAACAGTAGTTATCCTGCTTCACTCAATGGCAAAGAGAAGATGGATTGAATGTCACAATTGGTTACATTGTCCCAAAAGTATCTTGTTTCAAGAGAGACAAAATTAGATGATCTGAAAGAAATCGTGTTATTTCAGGAGTTTATACAGTATAACCAGCAAAGTACCCAACAAAATGTGGCCTTGTGGACTTTTTTCTGGAAACCATCCTGACCCTGGGAAGCCTCAGGATGAAGGTCTCAACTCGTGGAAGAGCCTGAGAGCCTCTTACTCAGGAAAAATCTGCCTAGTTAGGAGTGAGCTCTACTTCATTAAACCATAGTGGTTCTGAAGAGGTTATAGCATGTATTTACCTTGTTTCCTGGTGGCTCAGTCGGTAGAGTCTGTCTGCAGTGCATAAGACCTGAGTTGATTGATTCCCCTGGAGAAGGAAATGGCAACCCACTCCAGTATTCCTGCCTGGAAAATCCCATGGACAGAGGAGCCTGGGGCTACAGACCAGGGGGTCACAACAGTCGGACACAACTTAGGGCTGAACCACCGCCGAGTACTTTCTCTCTTGAATTAGCTATGACAGGGGTATTAAATTATTTTCTGGGTAGATAACTCCATGTATATACCTATTAGGCTACAAGCCAAGTTGTTAGCTGCCCTACGTGAAATCTTGGCTAAAACACACTTCATACATGCTTATAATTTATGACACATGAAGTTTTCCATTCAGCATACATTATCCTAAGAGGTATTTTGAAAGAATCTCTTCTCCAGTAAACCTACTCCTCATTTTCCTTCCTTCCCCATATTCCAAGAAAAGCACTTCTTGACTGCATTTCAGCCAGGATATTCCCAGTGAGACGGTAGAATTCATTGGTCATGACAAAAAATATGGTGACCAGCTTAAAACAGGGGGTTGCACTTCACAGCCTCCCGGGGCTTTTTACCAGCTTGGATTGACTTGCTGTTTCTAATTCATTTGCCCTGCTCCATGGGGCTGTCAAAGGAATAGTGTTCTTCCTTTTAAATAGTGTCTTTCTTCCCAAAACTGCATTCCCCGCAGATACACTCTTTACAGAGGAGTAGCCTCCCCCACCACTAAAATGTCATAGTTCCTTCAGGGCGAGCTGGAACCATTCAAAGGGCATAGCAGTAGTAGGCAGGAGCATTAATTAGGACCAGGAGGCCAGGCAGTGGAGAAGGGCGGCCGCTGGGCTCCAGTGGGCAAGCGGGCACAAGACTGCTTCTTGGGTCAGCATGACCACCTTTGTGTATTATGTCATCCCTTCCGTTTCCTTCTACCTCATCTTTCTTGTTTGAGACTCTCAGGACCATGGACTCTTAGTTTAGAAATAGATCCTAAATGAAGTTTGGCTTGTTATTTTTAAATACTCTGGTTCTATCAGTTGATACGAACAAACTCCAGGTCACGTTCAGTTGAATCAGCTTTAAGGTGAACAAGCTGCGATAGCCATTGTCATGCCAGGGGCTGCCTGTTACCTGGTTGGCATGAATGAATGAGTGACCTGCTTTGTGCCCAGCTTTTAAAGAAACGCTTGTATGTGTTTGTTTATCTTTGGGTCTCCTGGGTCTGCGTTGCTGCTCAGGCTTTCTCCCGTTGCGGAGAGCTGGGGCTCCTCTCTCGCTGCGCACGCAGGCCTCCCGCGGTGGCGGCCCCTCTCATTTTGGAGCACAGGCTCTGAGCCGTGTGGGCTGCAGTGATCATGGCACGTGGGCTCAGTTGTCGCGGCTCCAGGCTCTAGAGCGTAGGCTCAGTAGGTGTGGTCCACAGACTTCATTGCTCTGCCGCATGTGGGATCTTCCCAGCTCAGAGACTGAACCCATGTCTCCTGCGTTGGCTGGCGGCTTCTTTACCACTGAGCCACCATGCCAATCCCTGCGCCCAACTTTTGAAATAGAAAAAAAAACTCATAAACTCGCCATGAAACAATGAACATAAAGCAACTGGGAAAGTATAGAAGATGATAGGGATACAGCAGCAACAATAGGGAGAGAAAACTAGAGGGATATAAGGTGGCAGAGAAAAAGTAAGATCAGTATCGGTCAGGGTTGGTCTAGGTGGGGAGGTTTCATATGAGACACTGATTTTGAAATTGGTGGGGTTTGCATTGGAGTTGGGGAGGAGACAAACTGTCTTCCATATTGGGACTGGCCGAAGCACAGGCGTGGACAGCGTGGGCCTCCACAAGAGGACCGCAGAGGGATCACAGGGCGAAGAGCTGATGGAAGTAACTAGGTGTTGTACATGCAACCAGAGAGGCTGGGGCTCCCGTGGCCGCTCCTGGTTATCCCCGAGATATTTCCCAATGGAAATCTGACTCTCACTTTAGTTTTTGAATTTAAAAACACTGGCTTCTCTAAGAAAATCATATCACAGCATGAATACTGGACTCTTAGAATCCAGGACTGGAAAAGAATTTGGAAGATCTTCTAATCTAAGGTCTTACAGAGAAATGTCTCAAAAGGTGTGCTATGTCTCCCTTAAAGATAGTTCAGTATTTTCTTGACCCATTGTGAATTATTGAATTCTTACTTACAATTGAATCTCTTCCTGTCTTGATGGTGCTAAAAATGACCCTTTCTTAAAAGACTTTAAGTACCCCATGCACTGAGTCAAAGCTCAAACCCCACCTGAACCTCAGTTTATATTTAAAATAAGGATGGT